CTTTTTCGTTTACTAAAATATGTGTGAAAAGTTTAGCATAAATGAGGTTCCCATATCTTCGTTACAAGGTACTTTGTATATAGAATTTAAGAGTTGAACTGGATAAATAAATGAAACTTCAATCTTACCGTTCCTCCCGGGTGGTGCTCCGCTCACATCCCCGATTAAGAACTGTGGAAATAGAATCAAAGTGATACATTTGGAATGGGAGCAACGGATGAGATTAATAATCATAAAATAATTAATAAAAATGCGTCTCCATATCTTGAAAATTTAATAGAAATTAATGAAAATAATACTAGGTCCCACAACAAAACAATAATAAGAAAACCATAAAATAACTTTCACAAAAATTCATTAGCAATAAGTGGACCTACACTATGGAATAAAATTCCAAATGAAATAAGAGAAATTAGTGATGTTAAGCAATTTGCCAAAGAAATGTATTCATATTTATTAAAAAAATGATTATTTATATTATATTGAATTAAACTAAATGTAAAACTCAATTGGCCAATATGGCAGCATGTATTTAGCCTAGCTAATACCGAATGAAATAAATAATAAATAAATAAATAAATAAATAAAAAAATAATACATTATGTATTAATAACAGTTTTCAACTGTTTTTAATAGAATAAAAGTTTCCGGTGGACATTTTTTTTGGAATAGAAGAATTTTTTCAATTGAAGAACTTGAAAAAAGGACACTTTTCATTTTTTAAATTATTTCAGAGAAAATTATCACAAATTGTCCACGAAAAAAAAACATGAAATTTTTTTTAAAAAATCGACTGAAATTTTCGACTCATTTCGGATACCATCAAGCCAATGAGCAGCAGTGTGAAAGAACTTCGACTCAGCATTTTTCTAGCTTCGAACTATTAAAAGTTTACTATGAACGTATCAGTTGATAAGAACTATTTGATGGACATACGAATCGAACGCATCCTCTTATATACTTTTCAAGTGTGGCCACGTCGGTTGGCAACACACTGTATGATTCAATCCACGTACAATGACGATTCTAATAAAAGTCCACAAAATATTATCGCACACATTTTTCAAGATAACAATGTCAAAACAATTGATGGAATTACAATTCCACCTGTGCACGTGTGTTTAATTTCGCGTTTCACATCGAATGTTTTGCATTGAAAATATCAGATGGTTACATTTATTCTTTCATCACCTTCTTGAAACTACAAATTCAATGTAAAAATTTAAAAAGTAAATGAAACGAATTATATACGTAATCCGCGGCAATTTGGTTTACCTCCCGCTTAGTATTTAACCAAAATTTCAATAAAAACTCTTTTCATAGCACTTCTGAGCTTGAAAAATAACTATTTTGACCATTTTCCATATGAAAATGTCATTTTCGAACAGAATTTCAAAAATTTCAAGAAATGTCGGTTTTGGACCAAATTTTTGGGCAAGTAGGTGTTCCGTTGTTCGAAGGTTCCCTTTTTTTGCAAAAAAATATCAGTTTGCCTTGACCGAAACTCTAAAAAATGGCCTTCCGAGTGATTTTTCATACGAAAATGTATTTTTCGGAGAAAATTTCAAGAAATGTCGATTTCAGGCCAAATTTATGGGCAAGTAGGTGTTCGGTTGTTTGAAGGCTCCCATTATTTTTGCAAAAAAATGGCAGTTTACCTTGATCGAAACCCTGAAAAATGCTTTTTTTGGGTACTTCCCGTACAAAAGTGTCATTTTCCAAGGTTTTTCAGGTCCTCAGTCGGAGGCTTATGGTACGAAATTGGTAAATCAGAATGGGCTCAAAATCAATCCGAAGCTTTGTCTCGACATGCCAAAACTTTTGGTTCTTACAGATCTCAATTATCTTGTCAACTTTTTGAGATAATCGGCAAACAAAAAACGCGAACGCGGACGACGACATACGCACATCGCTATTTTACACATTTTTCATAGTAAACAACGTATTTTTGGAGGCAGATAGGTCTTGATCGATAGGATTTGTTCCCATCTACATTGCCTAGTGTACAGATATGTGCTTTTTGAAGTTTGCGTGACGTTATTGTGGTCCGAAAGAGGAGATGTCATGAAATTTTGGATAGTAAAACCAATACTTTTCCATACAAACAAAGTTTGCGGAAAAGTAATATTTTGCACGCTTGAAGGGTTGAGTGGTGTTACTATGGCACGTGACTGTTCAAAGAAGATTTAAACTGAGTGTTCTGTCAAATTTGCGCACCAGTACATCCAATTTCATGTCCATCCATGCTATTCTTCGTTTATATGTATAGAAACTTCTATTAAACGTTCAACATCTATGCTGACTGACATTTGTGTACGCTAATCAAGCGACAAACAAACACGCACAAACACACACCAACAAGCGCATGACGATTGAACATTATTTCTGTTCTTACTCGTTTGCAGGAGATTGCTACATTCATATTGCAGCGTGTGAATGAAATGCAAACAGTCAACGTGCCGTTCTCTCCACTTATCGTAGCGGCACAAACATCTACTGTATTAACACTCATAATGAAGCAAGCGTTTGTCTGTATGCGAGAACAAAGCTGAAGGGGCGATGAAGGCTCTAACGCACGACAAAGTAACTTTGACAAATGATTTATATATGTAATGGTGCGTAAAAAGTGACAGAACACAAATTAGAAGTCTCAGTTTAAATCTTGTTTAAAAATTTTCACATCTTCGCTGCATGCACAAAACACATTCCGTTTCAAAGTCGATCCAAAGTTGACCACAGATCAACCGTCGCTTACATGATGTAAATTAGAATGTGAATGATCAAACGACCTGACTCATACCTTTGCGTTACATTCAGGCTCACATGCCATGGTTGCGTTGCTTTGTTCAATAGCTACAGTGTTAGTTGATGCAAGGATATACGGTATCACATTTACTTTACATCACTCAATAAGGTATCACGGAGGACGATAGTCCGACAAGTGACGCTCCATAGACTGTGCATTTCAAGCCAAATATCAAAATGCCAGTTTTTGCGTCACGAGTAATATACACAGTAAATATGCTATTTTCTCAGGACACTATTTGGGCCCCGGCATGTTAGGTACCGTTGGAAAGGTCTTGGCCCAAATAGTCAGAAACACCATATCCCCCATGCCTAAAGTGTGGTCTAGGCAAAAATATAGCGGTTGGAAAATTTCGATAAATTTTCAAATCTATACCCATATCTTACGAGGGGGTACCCAGGGGGTTGTCTGAGGTGTACAAGAGAAGCTCCTCCTCGCCACCTTTCCAACGCCGGTACAAGCGCTCCGATTGGTCCAAAAACGAATTTATGGGCATTGGCAGTTTGACCATGGTTTTCTATGAAAGTATTGATTTGGATGTGCGTGTCCCCGTTTGTCCGGAAACTTTTTTGACCCCTACAGATTCTGGTGTCGATATGCCCAAGTTGTAGCTGGTGTAGGGTCACATCGAAACCCGTCCTCAGATTGACATTTGCATTACAGGAGAGCTGGCTATGGCTTCACTAGCCTGCGTTTATACGATTTTTTGAAGTATTTATTTCGCACACTAGATCAACTCAGACACCCATCGGGCAAACTCAGCTCGTTATCATTTGAGGAGACCTTCAAAAAGTTCCATACATACATGCCAATGTTTATGTGCAGGGCAACCAAAAATATTTACGAAAATATAAAATATTTTTTTACATATTTCGGCCAATTTACCGGAAAAAAATATTTATAAATATTTGGCGACTTTTGAGAGATTTCATAAATATTTCACCATATTTCAGACTTTTCGTGTCAATAATTTCACTATTTCTGCCTTTGAAATCAATGTATTGCACACTTGCGTCGTTCATCAATGCTTTTTGTGTATAATATTTCGGTTTAGCAATCGATTTTTAAATCTAGTATCCTTTGCTGTCCACTACAACACACAGATTCACTATGTGTACGAGTTGTATGGCGCGACAACAGCGCTCGTGCCAGTTCGCACAATGCTTATATAGAGCACGAAAGAAAGTGAGAAAAGAAATAATCCTAATGTAAACAAACAGCACGGTCTATTGTTTTAGTGCAAACGGTTTCTTGGGAATGTAACGTGACACTTCAGTTTGGACATCGAATCTGAAATGTTCACACGCTGCATTTGAAACAGTTTAAAAATGCCGAAAGAAAATTTGCGAACATTCTTTGGCAGAGTTGTTAAAGAGCATCCAAATGAATTTCAAACCGATGGCTCAGTATTATTCTGTAAAATGTGTGATGTTGAAGTGGCTGCAAAACAAATGTCGCAAGTGAAACAACATATAATAACAGGCAAACATGTGGCTAGCGTGAATCGAAAAGGGGGAAAGTCTGGTGGCAAAACACAATCACTGCTCACAACGATTGATCAATCTGCCGAAAAATTGCGTGATACGAATGTTTTCAATATGGATTTGGCTGGCTGCTTTGTTAAATCAAATATTCCACTTTATAAGTTGCGTGAGCCCGCTATGATTGATTTTCTACAGAAGCATACGAAATATGCCGCACCATCCGAAGGTACTTTGAGATCGAAGTGCGTACCGAAAATTTATGAAGAATGTGTTGAGAGAATGAAAAAAATCGCTGCTGAGAAGTACATTTGGGTTTCACTTGATGAAACAACTGACAGTGAACAACGATGTGTTGTGAATTTTGTGTTCGGATTATTGGGTGTTGAGGAAGAGCGCAGTCGGTGCTATCTATTTGCATCGAAGGTACTGGAAAAAGTCAACAATACCACAATTGCAAAATTTTTCGATGAAGTTGTTTGTGATTTGGGTATGTACGACATCAATATTGTTTCTGTTTGAAACGTTTCCTCACGCATGGCATTCATTTGATTCACAGGCGTTGACAAAGATCGCATTTTGCTGTGTTTAACGGATGGTGCACCATACATGACTTGCGCAATGAATGCACTAAAGATTCTTTACACGAAAATGATCCATTTCACATGTGCAGCGCATGCTCTTCACCGTGTGTGTGAATTTGTACGCGATAGTTTCAGCGATGTGAATAAATTAATTTCAAATATGAAAAAAATATTCACGAAGGTGAGCTCGAAATATCAATGAGAGAGGCTTTATTCAGCACATTCATTTCTCTCTCATTCTCTCTGTCATGTAGGCTCCAGCACGCAAGCACAAATTTCAAGCGATGTTCCCTGGAACCGCAATTCCGCCACAGCCGATCGTAACGAGATGGGGCACGTGGATTGAAGCAGCAGTGTACTTTGCCGATCATTTTGAGAAAATCAAAACCTTCTTAAATGATCTTGATTCAGAAGATGCAAAATCTATCAAAAAAGCCAAGTTAGTAATTCGCGTGTCAACGTTGAAGAAAGACCTGGCTTTTATAAAAGCGAATTTCGAATGTCTTGTTACTGGTGTGACGAAACTACAAGGAAAAGGAATGCCACTTGCAACTTCACTCGAAATTGTTGAATCAATTCGCACTAGCCTTCAGTCAATGCGTGGTAGGACTGAATTTTTGAACAAGTTTGATAGAGTTATCGCACGCAACAACGGATTTCTACAAATGAAAGAAATCTCTACAATTTTGAGCAAGGGAAAATCAACACGTCAAGATAACTTCATTGATATGCTGTCACCGGAAGAGCTTAGTTGTTTTTTGTATGCACCAATTACCTCATGTGATGTAGAGAGAACATTTTCAAAGTACAAACAAGTTCTGGGAGATCAACGTCGTTCGTTTTCATTCGAAAATTTAAAAATGCATGTCGTTATTTATTGCAATAGCTTTGATTAGTCTTTGGCTAACGTACTTTCTTTAAAAAACGCCTAAAAGTTGCTATTTATAAGGAAATTTTACGGTTTTTAATAAAAATATTTTAAATATTTTCGTAAATATTTTAGACTTTTCCATAAATATTTCGACGATTTTTCGTAAATATTTACATAAATATTTTGGACTTTTTCATAAATATTTTTGGTTGCCCTGTAATGTGATATAAAAGAAAAAAGTCGATTTTTACGAAAAATCGACTCCCTTAAAATTCACACCAAACGCGCTTTCTCAAAAATCAGCCCGACAATCCGGGAAAATTTGTATTTCGAAGTTCTTGGCATAGGCAATTCATCAATGAACGGAATTTGTACGAAGAGTCGCATTCTACGATGAAATTGCTGCCAAAAATACGCATCTACTGGCTGAAAAAGGCTCACGAAAGACCATATCTGCTCAATTTTCGACGAGCAATCGATTAAAAGTGGTCACAATGCGATCTGAGGCTATTTCACGGTCAAAAAATAGGTCGGATTGAAGTGAATTTTTCAACTTGCTCTATTTTCACTGAAAATGATGTTTTTGTTCGGAAAACACGTGAAATAGACCTCTGACGACATTTTGGTCTTGGACACTTGAATATCCATTTCGTTGTCATTTTGGTCATAAATCGGCATTTTGTTCGGATGATACATAAAAAATGCACTTTCCAGAGCTTTGGTGGTTGAAAATTAATATGCTTCAATGAAGTAATGGGTCTAAAATAACTTCAAAACTCTTTTAATGGATATTTTGAAATTTAATCACATTTTACAATGTGCAATAAGGGGAAAATAGAACTTTTTTTAATGAAAGTGGAAATTTGCTATTTACAAATCTTGCGAAATGTGGATGCAAATGTTTTACGCGAAAAATTACAATTTCCCAATGATAAGACCTTAAAATAGACATATTTCTGGCAAAAGTGTATTTTTTCCTAGAATTTTTGCCTTACAAAATTAGTGATATCAGATGAAAAACTTCTAGACGAGGCTAAAATGGAGTGACGCTCCTGTGCGTGGATTTACCACTCAAAATGACTGATATCATTTTGAGTGACGCTTTAACGCTGTATTATCTCTGGGTACGAAGTTCGAAAGTGTTTTTCGCGTTCACTATTGTGAAAATTTATTTACAATAAAGAACAATATCGCGTCACGACTTTTGGACGGCAAAACGCTTGAAAGTTTGACTTGGAGACTAAATTTAAAAGTCATGACGCGATATTTTTCCTTATTGTAAATAAATTTTCACAATAGTGAATGCGAAAAACACTTTTGAACTTCGTACTCAGAGATAATGCAGCGTCAAAGCGTCACTCAAAATGATATCAGTCATTTTGAGTGGTAAATCCACGCACAGGAGCGTCACTCCATTTTAACCCCGTCTAGAGGTTTTTCATCTGATAGGTAGGATACGATGATATTGATACAAATCTACGCATTCCCTTGAAGAATTAAAACCGAATCTCATGCAAAATCATATCCATACTCAGTTACACTGTCCATGGAAATATAGACAGCTGCTCAATTAGTTCGAAATTCCAATGAAGACACACGGAAAGAAATACTTACAATCCGATACAAATCACATTAAAAAGAAAAAAAATTTGTCACTGTCGCATTTCGTACCAACACAGCCAACTTTTTGTTTCCATGAAATAAATTCTTCGTAGTGGTAAAAAATCTATGGCACAGATTCGAGAAAAATATCACTAATACTGCGAAAAAACTTGTTCCGTGTGTGTCATAGGGCACTTGCAAAGATCGAAAAATGTGTTTATTTTATAAAGTTTATCAAGCGCTGTTCAAGAAGTTTTTACCTAGCATTGAATTTTCGTTTAAGCTTTACTATCTAAACACGGTCAAACTTGTTATAATGCCATCGTTAGATGGCGTTTGTTCTGGTTAAAAGCTTAAAGGTCCTCCGTGGTGTGAGTTTTCCATATTATCGCTAAAATTTCATTTTATCTCATTAAATCAAGAATATTAAGAAAAGAATTGATTCTGAAATGAAAGCCAATTCGGTCTTTGTTCTAATCGATAATTTATTTGAAATAAATGCAGACATTTCAAGTCATCTGCGACTCTTCTTCAGGGCCTAAAAATAACAAATGTTTTGGGCTCAAGGATACTAAGACGATGCAAGCGTAATAATGGGCTGTAGTATTCTACATTGGTGGTGACAGTGGGTAAATGGACAACTGGAGTTATTTTTTGACAGAATATTAATCGATAATCGAGTATGGGCATTGGGCATAGAAAAAAATCATCCGATTATTCAGCTAAATTATTTCAGCTATTCGCTACCTGAAATAAAACGAATACGTAATCCAAACTTTTGGTTTACCTCCCGCTTAGTATTTAACCAAAATTTCAATGAAAACTCTTTTCATGGCACTTCTGAGCTTAAAAAATAATTATTTTGACCATTTTTCATATAAAAATGTCATTTTCGAACAGAATTTCAAAAATTTCAAGATATGTCGGTTTTGGACCAAATTTATGGGCAAGTAGGTGCTTGGTTGTTCCCATTATTTTTGCAAAAAATCATAAGTTTGCCTTGACCAAAACCCTTTTCAAAGCTTTATCTCGACACGCCAAAACTTTTGGCTCTTCTCAATTATCTTGTCAACTTTTTGAGATATCCGGCGAACAAAAAGCGCGAACGCGAACGCCATACGCACATCGCAATTTTGCACATTTTTCATAGTAAACAAAGTATTTTTGGAGGCAGATAGGTCTTGAACGATAGGATTTGTTCCCATCTAGATTGTTTAGTGTACAGATATGTGCTTTTTGAAGTTTGGCGCGACGTTATGGTGGTCCGAAGGAGGAGATGCCATGAAATTTTGGCTAGTAAAACCAATACTTTTCCATACAAACAAATTTGCGGAAAAGTAAAAAACCGGTCTCATAACTCTAAACCAAATAAATTTTTCGGGAAATGTCTTTAGCTTAATCAAAATCCGACCCGGAAAATTATTGCTCGTGAATCAGCCTGAGGATAAAATAAATGCTTGATAAAAAGAGTTAAATACCACGGTCAATTTCATGTGTATGTGGCAAAGCGACGGGGTAGAAAAAAATAAATCGGTACATAAATAAAGCGATTGGCAATTAACACAAAACAACGCGCTTTTGCCAGTATCGCAATAATCCGTTGCGTTGAACGTTTCGTAAAACACAATAAAATGCATAATCGTTCGCCATACCTCATGTGACAATTTGTAAGCGTCGGTCGTGTTTTTTTTTCGTCGCTCTCGTACACTCTTCACATCGAATCCATCGGACGGGGCTGAGCATTTTTTGCGGGTGAAATTTATTTATCTATCTTTATAGTTGATCACATAAATTTCTGATAAAGCGACTATAAAAATAAATCCATGAGGCTTGTGCAATGATGCGACGGTTTTGCATCGACAACGTCCAGTGCGGCAAATCGATGATGGGGCGAAATGGCAATACGTATGGTTTGGTGTGGCTGGGCTCAAAATATGCATAATCCGATTCGAAAATTGACATTGTTTGGCTCTCACTCAGTCGACGCACCATGCATGTCGTTCGCATCGAAAAGTGTATCGGAAGGATATTCATGGTTGTTGTTTTTTTTTTTCGGTTGGTGGTTATGGCTTTCGGCATTTGATTCAAGTGTACGATGATCCGAGCGAGTCGATGTTTGCTTGGAGTTTCTCCATACATATACACGAGGTGCCTGGCTACCATAAATTCGGCAATAAATCGCTGAAGTGCAATTCCAAAAGTGCGGCTGTGAACCAACGAGAAAAAAGTTGCTGCTTGTAAAATCGTATTTTTGACAGAAGTTGTTTAAATAAATTGCGGTTTGCCAATCGGTTTGCATTAACATTGCATTTCAAGTGAGTTTTTATCAATTCGCCCATTGCATTGAGCTTAAAAAAAGATGGAGCTGAATATGAAAGATTACCACTTTTCTCTGGTGTGGCCAAGCGATTGTCCGAAAAATTGAATCAATCGAGCGATAACTTTGGATTAAGTGGGAAATATGGCAAGCAACACCGCATTTCAACACCGCATCCAAATATCTTTGACGAAACAACGATGATAAATGTTGAACATTCATTCATTTTTATAAATGACTTGTGATCTCAGATGACGAGCTACTGATACTGATGCTGCTACTGCGGTGGTTTTAGGAAAGGAGAATAAATTATCTCCAGTCGATATCCTCACATGTAAGGTAACCCAGAGCTGTGCATTGGAGGGTCGATTCCTGTATTATTTATTGTGTTTACGTTATCATCTGACTCATATTTTTTGATGATTTTTTTTCTATTTGATTTCTTTGTGTCGACCATTCGGAGAAGAAAATAGATTTTTATTTAGCCATTGCTGTCGGTTTGTTGCAAACAAAAAGAGAGATTAACATCGTGATATGAATACCAGAGTAGAAAAACTGTTTTAATTTATCAAAGTCGCCGTCCATCGCAATCGTTTACCAGAACCATTGTTACAAGACGGCCCGGCACACGCATACCATTTTTTTCTTCTCTTCATTTTTCTTGTTCGTTTGGTTTTGTTTTTCATTTACATGAATTATGAATCATTAGATTTCGTTTAACAATTCAAATTGCCGACCATCGCATCGTGCACATCATTTATAATGTCTGTGCCTGGGCTGTGTGCGTGAACGAAATTCTTTATCGCATGCAAAAAATGATTTATTTCCATCCAAACTTTTTACGTTTTGTCGTTGCATAAACCATGAACCAGGAATTAAATTATTTCCTTCAACTAGAGAAGCAACCTCCAATCAAAACAACATCTTTTGAAAAGGGTAAGATGCTAAATAACACACAAAAAGATACTAAAAAAGTCATTGACTGGAAACCAACGAATAAAAAAACGTCTTGTAATTAAATGTCAATCATCGCATTTTAACGATTCATAGCATTTATGAAAATGTAAATGATTTGATACACAAATTTCTGGCCGAGATAAATTGAATATGCACCATTTCCACTTGAATGAACAGCATTCATTAACAATTAATATCTTTAACGAAAAAAATTTGTCGCCGACTTTTTCTCGAGTTTTAGACAGACTTTAAGTCTGTAGTAACACTTTATTTTCTGTAGGAAAAAGTCCGATTTTGGCACCAAAGTGTAAAAAATGAATTGAAGCCAAAATTAACTTAACTTGGTTTGAATCAACATTTTAGATCATCGCCCAAAATATGAGGCCGAACACCGCCTCTTTTCATCTCTATCCAAAATGGCGAAAAAATTCAAATGACGCAAATGATAAAGGTCCATGACCTGCGAACTATATCATAAATATTCTGCTAGATTCTTTGGTAAAGGAATGTTATGCATGGCAGTGGAAAATCATTAAAAAAAGCGAGCATCAATTTTCAAAGAACGTTTTAATAGAGAGCCGCGTGTATTGACTTAAGCGAATTCGCTTCGAATATGACGAAAATATTGGCTTTTTTGCCAAAATACCGTGTCTGTCTGCAGAAAAAATGCACCATTATTCAGTCAATGTCGATATAAATCTTCAGTCCATGGAATGGGTTGCATTGAAAAAAAAAAGACAGAACGAACAGATTTTGCACGTAGCAAAAAAAAACATGTGCTGTTGTGCAGACTGTTCGCTTGATGGAATGTGATATTGGCACGTCAGTGTTTTTGACAATAAATGGTTTTTGTCGATGTCATCCGACGATGGTGCTGATGGTAGCGTTGATACAATTATACACACACAACTCATATCTAATTAAAGAGAGCGTCTAATGAATAATCGATACGATATCTGTTTACGCTCAAATAAGTTTGAGGAAGAGGGAAAAAACAAAATGATGATTCCATTGAAAAAAAAGCCATGAAAATATTTGATGATTAAAAGGGTGCATGATTGTATCAAACCGTACATAAAAATGAATATTGAACGTACCGCATTTTACAATTAGTCATCATGGCTTGCAATTTCTATCAAAAGCAGAAAATTTATGAAACTGACTGAGATGCACAGTCCAAACAGACAATCAGATATGCGTTGAAGTATTCATTATTATCATTCAGTTTAACTTTGAAGAAAAATACGCAATGGAACAAGTCTAATCAATGACGAAAAAATATTGAAACTGTTGAGTTGAGACAATTTGACTTCCGACTTTCAATTAAGAGATAAGAATGTTGAAGTGAACTACCCAAAAATGTTCAGGTTCTAGGTGGTAGGGACTATTTTCCAAAAGTCTAAAAAAGTGTCACTTTTTTCCTTCTACGGACGCTATTCATGTGCATTTTGGTCACTATTTTTGAATGGCTGGCTGATTGGCTGAATTATGTCTTCAGAATCATTCGCCAGAGCAGAATGCTAGGGGGAAAGAACTGAGTAAATGAAAATATAAATATTGTAAATAATCGCATATTCTACCGAGTTTAGATCAATACGCGTCAATGCGTGTCAATGCGCTGAATAACTAACTGCAAATGCATGCAAATATGGTCAATGAAATGTGCGTATTTGCAACTGTCATTCTTGCTCGCCACGAACGAGACGAAGCAACAGAAGAAAACAACAACAATAACACTACGGAACGCAGTGCAAATGCCTGTGAATATTTGTTAATACGTGTCAATGAAGTAAATATACCAATAGTTCTTTCTCCCTAGACAGAATGTTATTGGGCTGTCAGATACAAAACCTAATTTTTGTTTGGCTGCTACACAGACAAAAAATTACTTAATACATTTGCACACATTGACTACGGATATACACATAGCATTTCATTTGTGTTCGTATTCACATTTCGCATACTGTATGCAATACTATTATAACTGTAAGTAAGATATACAGTATGCAAAATTTGTATTCGGACGCATAGCGAATGAAGTTCTTTTGTAGCAGAACTATGTTTTGTGTGTATGAAGGCCACTTTCAATGGAAATCAACATGTGAATTTTATTCGCTAAACAGATGCTCAAGTGTTTTGAAAAACCAATAATTGAACAATTGATATCGTAACGTAATTAGTTGATTAATTAATTTATGCAAATATGCAATGAAACAACATTTGGATTTATATTTACATTAGCACTGATTTGGAATAAGGTGTTGCTTAAACCATGCAACAAGTGTGTGATGATTTATTGTACTGTATTTTATTTATATTTAAAACACATTGACACAAATTTACACCTACTGTATATATTGTTTCTAATCGAGTAAAGACAAAACTCCATACTTTTTGAACGCAATCTCATTTGCAAATCGAGTGCAAATCGGTTTGAAGTGGATTATTTTAAATAGTCTTGTTTGATTAAATCGGCTCCTTTCTCGCCAACCATCATTGCTACAGCATTCGTGGGAGCACTTATCGGAACGGGAATGCTAAAAATTCAATTCCAATAAAGACGAAAATATCATATCAAAACGGAAACAATATATCGGTGGGGATTTTTTTTTTCAAAAATTACATTCCACAATCGATTTGACGTAGGCCCTTTGTGTTGTACACTCTCAATCGATTATCGACAACAGCGCCCATTCTGCTAGTTCCCACTTGATGTGATCCAACTGTGCTAACATATTGAATGTAACAATCCCAATAGGAGTCTGAATTAGGTACGAGTGCATCACACTCTGCAATTGGAATTGGTAGATATTCAAATCCAAGTATTTGGAATGGCTTCAGGCTGGTTAAAGCGATTTGTTGTTCAATAGCTGCAACGAGAGTAGCTCTATCGCTTGGATCGGACAAAAGATTGCTGTGAATGAGTGGTTTTTTTGAATCTGGACATTTACTCAATCTCAAAGTGCCACGTGATTTTGGTTTTATTAGATCCAGAGTTATGATCACGACATCGTGCGCTTTAGTTTCATTTGATATAATTTCATTGAACAAATCGATGCCTGTGAATTTGTTGAAACCCTTAATTGTACTCTCTGGAGTGCCTCGTGGAAAGTTGGTAGTAAAGAACAAAATGTCTGGAAGGCCAGTTCTGTTGAATGTATCCAGATATCCAGTCATATACGGTACGACAGACAGGGGGCCTCCCTTTGTGGTGACATATTTATACAAACTGTCGAATCCAAATGTTGATGGCAGTGGTTCCGTTGAAAAATTGTACTTGAAAAGTAAATGGGTATAAACTTGATCGATATAATTCTCACCAACCGGCAGATCAACCTTAGCTGCTATTTTACGCTCTTGCAAATGTTGGCTCGGTCCGATACCCGAACGCATTAGCAACGGAGGGCTTTGAATTGATCCGGCCGAGACGATAACTTCTTTTTTTGCAATCGCTTTTAATTTGTGTTTGCCTTTGTATGTGAATTCGACGCCATAGGCTTCGTTGTGTTTATTGAGAAGAATAGAATTCACATAGGCATGCTTGATAACGTATAGATTTTTTCGATTTTTAGCTGGCGACAAATATGCTTGAGCCGTACTACTACGAATGCCGTTAAAGTAAGTTGATTGAAATTCGGAGTAGCCGAGCTTGAAGTCAGCATTCAATTCGGGAATAAAAGGAACGCCAGCACTTCGGTAGGCATTTTCCACAAGTAGATTCAAGTCCGTCAGTGGAGTCGAGCTGATTTTCACCGGCCCATTTGCATTATGATATCGGCCATTTTTATAGGCGACCAGTGTTTCATTTTGATTGCCTTCATATTTCTTGAAATAAGGTAAAACACTTTCATAATCCCAGCCAGGATTACCAAGTGCAGCCCATTCGTCATAATCTGCGGCCACTCCACGACCAAAAAGCATAAAATTTATCGATGAAGAACCACCGAGCATCTTTGCGCGTAAGAAACAAAACAAAAATAAGTTAATAATGTAGTAATTGGTTTATAACAAAAACAACCTTTGCGCGTGGTAAGTAACAACCATCCGGTGCCAATTTACATGCGGTTTTTGTCGTAACATCGCTAAACTGCCAATCCACTGGAGATTTCATCAGCTCGAGAAACGTCCCAACCATCTTTATGAAAAATTGGGAGAAAAGTACAAAATAAACATGAATGTTACTACTTATTGGCATTCTTTTGTAATTAAGATCGATTGAAGTGCTCTTGAGGCCAGTTCGCAATATGTGAAATGAAATTCTATTGGTTCTTGATTGCTCACCACAGATTCGAGTGGAGGATCTCCGCCAGCTTCAAGTAACAACACGTTCCAATTTTTTACTTCACTCAAGCGATTTGCAACTATAGCACCAGAAGAACCAGCACCCACCACAATGAAATCCATGTCAGGCAAACCTAAAATTATAGATCAATTTTCGGATGAGTTTGTTATGAATTTGCACTTGCAGATTGATTTCTTGCTGTTATTGGACTTCGCACTGCTCAGCAATGGAATATTTTTTACAAATTTTAAAACGAAATCAAGGAAAAAATCTTCCAATTTTCGAATTATCACAAAATAGCGTACCACGTCTCAAGACATCTTCTCCGTAGTCTCGTGGCCACAAATCTGGGGATGAAAGTGCACACTGAGTCGTTAAAAAGGTTTGAATTAACGAGGTAAACAGTTGATTGCCCGCTCCAACACTGTTTATTGAACATTCTGGTGATGCCACACTTTGATTCAAACAAGGCATTTTGAATACGAAAATAATTATCCACCGAAAATTCCGAATTATTCTACTTCTGATTCTATTCACTGCAAAACGTCTTTGATCGAAACTCAATTGATTTGGCTTATATACTCATAATTTGTTTGCACCTAAATTGTTCACATCAACATTTTTTTTTTTCAAATCAAATATACTTCGAAACTGTTTATTTAAACGCGTTTGCAACAATTGACGATCTAGATAAATGTTGATGACGATTTACACTTTTGGTCGTTTTTGTTGATAAAATATTAACCCTCTACTGCATTAATTTTTTTCAGCGTTAGCAAGAGCCAATATTTGTTAATTTTTGGGCGTTGATAACGGAAATGAATATTGGATTCCCATTGTTTGCCAAGGAAATGTGTACAGGCTCAAACAGAGAAGAATCAAATCCATTGTTTAAAGGTGTCAAAAATGTGTCTTATTTCGTATTAAGCCATTTTTATAAATACCTAATAAATGAAGAAATTTGCCGTTCAAATAATAATTTTTAGACAAATTTTTGTTTTCGTGCACATTACTGTCTAGAACAACCGAATGATGGTTGTAAAACCGAAAAATGAAGAAGAAACTTCATCGAATGAAAATGCCTATTGATAATGTCAATCCAATCTGACGTATTGTTCACATCATACAAGCCTTTGAATATTGCTCTCCTTTTGACGGTTGTGTGCTTTAGAGCGTTAGGATTCAAAACCAATCTCTAAACGAGGTTAAAATAATGCTCTCAACTGTACCGATTTTTTCTGTAGCATATTGAATTTTTGACCTCATTTGACCTACTGCTAAAAACAATCTAGATTTTGGACATACATATAAATAATTTCGAGTATACGAATTCAGTATCGGTCAGTTTTGGTCACCGGGATAAATTTTTCACCGAGGGGTAAATTTTGTCTTGCGAGGGGTAAATTTATATTTACACCTCGGTGCAAAATTTATCCCGGTGAACAAAAATTGACCGATACTGAATTCGTATACTCGAAATTCACATGATTTTCAGTTTTTTTTCTATAATAATAATGAAAAGTATCAACGAAAAAATCAAACTGTTTGAATTTATTTCCCATCCGGCAATCTCATTAGCTTTATTGGTCTTTGCGCGGCGCTCATTGTAGTTGAACATATGTTTAAATAGAATAATAGATCATGTTTTGAAATTTTTTGCATTCAATTAAATGAATATTGATGCACAAATTATTGATATATTTACACAATTGTAACCGAGATTTGGGGAATTTTGTATTTTGTGTGTGTTTTTTTTTCATGTAAAATATACCAGAAAGAAAATGTACTAATTCGAAAACACACTGTGAAACTATAATCTTGCTTTTGATAGCAAATTTTGTGATTGTTCCAAGGAGGCAAGGAGCTTCCAATAAATTTTTTATGGAGAGCAATATGTTCAAGAAAAAAAAAACACAAAAATGAATATATGATGTAAAAAATGTTATAACATGTAGTTTTTATCCAGAAAAATTAAATAAAATGAAAATACGATAATCAAGTCTTCGTTGAGTCAATTAACGTCACATCGAACGAGTCTTCATCTGCGCCATGAAAAGTACTAAAAAATTAAAATGAGTTGTGTCCAACAAATTCCGCGGTATGATATTTTATCGCTTGATGTAAAATCGACTAAAAACTGTATCCATCTTGGGAAGCACACGGAATTACCTGTATCCAAAAATTTAATTTGTGGGTGCTCTCAATTCGAAAGAATATTTCGTTCAGCCGAAATAAGATTGGTAAAATGCTTTTGAAGCTACACCGAAATGGATTTCTATTGCACGATCCACATATGTATCAATCACGGTTTTGCTTGGAATATCGGGGATTTGTGGGCCATTTCTGTGCGGAAATCTGAAAAAACTGTAAGAATTCCAAAGATGCATCACCTCAAAATTGTTGGCTTAAATCTTGAATTAGGGTGGTATTTACTCATTTTAGTACGATTTTAAACAAAGTTATCAACTTTTCAATGAACAATTTCTTTGAAACAATATCCAAAACCAAGCTCCATTTTTCGGATAGGCTCAATGGTCGAGATTTTATTCATTTGGCTATAACGGAATTAGTGAAAGTCAAGCAACTTCACTATTGGAATATGACAAAAAAAACATTCAATCATGACGTAAGTTGAGTGAGTATTTCGAGTATACCGAACAGTACAATGATATCAAAGGATTTTACATGGATTCGCATGAAAATATCTACATTTTTCTCCATTTAGATTTGAATTTGATGGCTTGATCATCAATTTCCCGTGCAAAATCGAAGACTTGTGTGTTGTTGTACGGAAAATTAGTAAATATATTTGCATTCAAATTAGTCAAGAACTTGATGCTAAAATAAATGAATTGCCCAAAGATTTCAAGCGAAACTGAGTTTGAATTGGACCACTGAATGAACCTTAAATAACTCTTGTTAAATTTCTTTCGTTGAATAAAATAGATAAAATATGAACCAAATGCCAAAATTATAAACATACTCATTATCACTCTCAAGACCACATCGATATCAAATACTGAATCAATCAATGTCAATTCAATCTCAATAGAACACAATACTATTCCTACACTAAGGAAAAACAATTCTACCCGTCGATTCGATATTAGTTTGTGTGATGAAAAGTTATTTGATCGAGTATTCGTTGTGCCAATTGACGTCATTGCAATTGAGCTTTCATCTAAATAAGAGTGTCAAATAGAAAAAAGCCGTCAAATGGATCAAGAAAAAAGTTTTTCGCGTTGTGATTTTCTATCGCTTGATGTGAAAACCATAAAAGATACCATTCGCTCTGGGAAGCACACGGAATTGGCTATATCCGAAAATGGTGTCGATGTTCCAAGCTTCGATCCATCGGTTCGGTCTTGGGTGCTATCCATCCCAAATAACATTTCCATCACACGAAATAAGATTGGAAAAACGCTGTTGAAGCAACATCAATATGGATTCGTCTTGCACGATCCACATATGTATCAATCACGATTCTGTGTGGAATACCATCGGATGCAAGATCCAGCACTGAAAAGTTACTTCAAATCCGCTCCAGTGAGAGAACGATTGGAAAGTCTCGGTGTGATAACCCAGGATGACAATGTTCTGTGTACAACCAGAGAGTTCGCCGAATATTTACGGTACCTTGAAAGCGTGCACTCTTTAGAAATCGCCGAAGGAATTAAAAATACGGTTCGTTTCCGGACATTCCATTAACATTTTTGAAAAAAATATTAGTATCTTAACAATGTATCCATAATTTAGAGACATAAGCGGCTGACGAACAACCTGCAAAAATTAGTTGATACACAGAGGTATGAGTCCCAATTTACGGGCATTTTTCGGCGCAAGAAATATCAACGGCAATGGAAAACAAGGAAAAACTTGAGCGAGTAATTAATGTCTCATGTCAAAATCATAATCAATTGATTTGAACTAAGCTCTTTCTCCAGAGATCGTAAGGCAACTTCTTCGAAGCAAAGCAATATGGATGTGAGCCAAGCGATTGTCCGGGCTGAGAAGATTAAAGAAGAAAAACGAAATCGTTCTAAGCAGAAAAATCGTGACAAAGCAGATAAATTCAATGTGAACAAGTTGATGATCCTTCAAAAAGAATACAGGTAATTATCCAAACTACTTTGCGTCATTCTCCGAAGCTGAATAGAATTTCGTATCGCAAAAAAATAATTCAATTTTCAGGAGAAAAATCGAAATGGACGAGAAACTCGGAAATAAGCTACAGAAAGCCCAGCAACAGAAGAAATATTTGCAAGATGAGAAGCTCATCAATAGATTCACCGATGGAATAGAGTTCTTCAAACGGCATTGGATGTTCAGAGAAGAGACTCGAAAGAAGAACGTCAAACTTTGTGAAATGCATGAAGAAGAGAAGCGTCAAAATATGGAGGTATTTGTTTCTGCTTTTCTTTCCTTTTTTCTACATTTATGATTGTACAATGAAACATTTTCATTGGGAATAAAATACCGTAAACAGAAACGCATAAAACGAATTGAGCAAATTCGCGAGAAAGATGAAATCAAAAAGATAAAACTACGACGAGAATTCGCGCGGAAAGAACGATCCAAGGTGATAATTGAAAAAGTGAGGAAACAAGCGCAAAAGCTAAGCGAAAGCTATCTCAAATTGGTTGATCAAAAAGATTTTAAGGAAATTTTTCGTCGTTTTTCGATGTTAACTGAGCCATTCATTGCGGAATGCTTGAAAAAAGTGAATTCAGTGCTTCAAGATTTGAAAATAGTTGTATCAGGCGCAACATTGGTCGAAAAGCTATTGTCTATCATGACACAATTGGTTGTTATGAGACCGGAAATTGGGCAAAGCAGATGTGTTCTGATACGTCAACGTGTTGCTGGATTCATTGTGCATACGATAACTCAAATAAAGAACGACCGCTTGAAACACATCAAAAACAATTGGATCAAGAAGCAACGGAATGCTTTTCATGAAGGTGACACCAGTGATGAGAAAGATTCAACAAGCAAGCATGTTTCGATGGATGATTCTGCGCACATAATTGGCGAGTCTGCGTTTTCGTTTGATGAATTTATCGGCGATCTGAAGAGCGTCTCAGTGTGGAAAATCGAAAAAACCGTAAGAAAGTCACTTACTAGTAATAAGAATAATCGAATTTTGATAATTGATACCATTTTTACTCATACAAGTACAACTTGAACCAAGTAATCAACATTGAAATGAAGTCGTTCTTTGAAACCATATCCAAAACCGAGCTTCACTTTTCCGAAAAGCTCAACGATCGTGATTTCATCCATTTGTATGATTTTCAAAAGTTTTTCATCCATCGATCAATAAGACGCATAACGGAACTGGTGAAAGTTAAACAATACCATTATTGGAATGTAAAGAGGGAAATAGCAGCTTGGCAAAAGTTGAGTGAGTATTTTGCAATTGTTCCTCTTTTGAATTGAAATTTGAAATTATCTACGATGAGCTAAAACTTCTTTATATTTCTGTGATTTTAGATTTAAACTTGGATGATTTATCATACGAAATGATCGATTTGATCATGACAAACCCATGCAAATCTAAAGACTTATGTGCGGTTGTACGAAAAATTAGCAAATACATTTGCGTTCAACTCAGTCAAGACCTTGACAAAGAAAATATCAATCCCAAGGAAGACAGCTCAAGTGAGACTGAATCAGAATCTGATGAGGAATATTGAACAATCACCAACACTTCAAACCAATTGTTATTTCTCTAATTAAAAGTTAATGGAAAAAATTGAACCAAATTGCGTTTTGAATTAAAAATTTATTGCATGAAATTTATTGTTTGGATTTTGCTTGTCATTTTTATAAAAAAACGTCATATTATCAAGTATTCTTTGAATCAATCAAAGTATTTTTTATCGCAGAACCGAAAATTTAGCAACAAGAAAAAAAAAATGAATAAAAATCATCGTGCCGATATTTTGTCGTTGAATTTGAAAGATATAAAGAATTCATTGCCGTCTGCATTACAAACCAAATTGATTGTGTCGAAAGAAAACCAAGATAATGAGCCATTACCCCAAAATATCATCAAGCCATGGATGCTCACGTTATCCAATCAAACATTTGTCAGCCGAAACAAAGTCGGGCAAGAACTTTTACATCACTGTCGCCATGGTTTCGTTTTGGATGATCCGTACATTCGAAAGACGCGATTTTATGTTGATTATCATCGCATGCACGATCCAGGATTGACAAGATACTACACTTCGATTCCAGTGAGAAATCGCGTGAAGAAGCTCGAATTGGTGACCGAAGAAAACGATGCCATTTGCACGAACAAAGAGTTTATGGATTACATACGATACCTTGACACCAACATCAAACACAATCTGACTCAAGTGAAGCAACTCGATGTGAGTAACGATTTGAATATGAATCCATATCATGTGAATGCTAAACTTCCAGCATTTTATACTTGTTATGACTTAAAGGAACATTATAAAAGTTTGAATTGGATTCATTTGTAGAGCGAAAGGAGATTATCCGAACATTTTGAACTGCTGAGAGACGAAAAAGATTATGAGTCTCGATTTACTGGCATTTTTCGGCGGAAAAAGCACGTACACGGTGAAAAATTGTTAAAGGCAAACTTGGATGAGTAAGAAATTGTGCAAATGTTTTAAATTTAAATGTTTTTGGTTTGTTTTCCGTTTTTGTATTTCCTTCATTGTATTTTATTATCTAGAATGGGAGGTATGAGACTTGAGAAGTTAATTAAAAAGGAGAACAAAGCTGTAGAAAGAGCGACAAAATTGAAGGAGGAAAGAACGGTTCGTGTTAGAGAAAAGAGTGAAGCGAAAATTAAAAAATACATACCGAGAAAACAGATGATTGTTCAGAATGAAATCAAGTATGGAATTGTGCTTTACCATAATTGTAAAAAAAACCTCCATCAAAAATCTACATATCTTTGGCTGGTATTTTAGCAAACGGAACGAAATGATCACAACCATAAATGGGAAATTAAAACTGGCCAAGAAGCGCAGAGAATGTATGACAATGGAGAAAAAAGTCAAGAAAACGAAGGAAGAAATTGATTATTGTAAAAAACACTCGGCATTGAGACAAGAAATTCTGCTGAACAATATCAAACTGTATGAAACGTACAAAGAGGATCAGCGCAAAAATCTTGAGGTTTGGGGTAAGTTTATTTATCACATTCGATCATCTTATTAAACGTAGAAATATTCCAATTTCCAAAAGGAGCGCAGAGAGAATTTCGAGAAAAATCGTGAGTACAATGAAAGCAAAATCATAAAAATTCGAGAAGAAATCGCTAAGAGGACCTCTCTAACGCTAAGAGGACATGCGAAAATAGTGGAGAAAATTATGAATTATTTAGAGCCATTCCGTGTAAAGTGCAAGAAATCAGCTAATCCATCGGATCTAGAAGAAATATCTCGGCGCTTATCGCTGTTCAAATCACCTTTCATAACCGATTGCGCAGATATTGTGAGTTCTACACTTCATTGCTTGAAGATTTCCGTGTCGCCAGCAGCTTTTGCCGTGAAAACCATGAGAGTTATGGAAATTCGTAGCATAATAGAGCCCAAAACTGGGGCTTCTAAATGCGTTTTTCTACGAGACAAAGTTGCTGAGATCATAGCAGATACCATAAATGATATTCGGGACGAACGCTATGAAGAAATCAAAAATAAATGGATTGAGCGACAAAAACAAAAGGCTGAAGTAGCTAAGGGCCAGAAATCAAGCAGTCAGTCAAAAATAGTGTCAAGTAACCCATCGAGATCCATATCTCGGACTGCATCGCAAATCATATCCCGAAGACAGTCAAAAGATTTATCACCTCAAGCGATTGAGAAGTCTATGCAGGAAGTCAATGCATTGAAGCACAACGAATTCATTGGAGATTTATCGGAAATTACTGGCAGTTCAAACACAGTGATCGAAAATGAACTAGATCGATTTTTCGAAATATTATGCAAAAACAAATTCGATTGCTCGCCGATGTTCAGCACCCGTGACTTTGTTCATGTGTACGAATTCCAAAAGCATTTCATACACGAATCGATAAGATTTTTCATGGAATATGTCAAAATTATGCAGCAACACTTTTGGACACGAATTAAAGATTTTAACGCTTGGATAATACTTAGCAAAGCATACTCAAGTACAACTTCCATATTATTGTTCAATGATCATTCAGATTCGGATCAAAGAACGTTTTCAATTTCCACTTTTAGATCCAAACCTATGGGAGATGTCTCTTGAAGCTGCTGACTTGGTCATGAATTACCCCAACAACAGAGACGAATTTTGTAGATGCATTAAAAAGATGAGCAAATTTATCTGTGTTCTACTCAACGATCGTCTCGAGAAAGAGAACATTGTCGACGTGAAGATGGTTTATGAATGAAACTCGTCTTGAAATGACTTCGAATATGATGAGTAATTTTTTTGTTGACTTTAGTGAATGAAGACAAATACAGTTCTATGCATTTTCAAACTCACATTTTATTTTCTTGTTTCCACCAGTGTAACGAAATTTTAATAAATTTATCGAAAACGTCCACAAATTACAATTTAAAGATATGATCGTATAATATTCGGCCGACAATCAAGTCTTCGTTGAGCTAAGCGATGTCATTTTATTAGTAAAAAGGCTAAATATTATTTAGAAGACAAAAGAGCTTCTGTCTACCTATCTATCTATCCATTTTGGTGGTATATATAAACGTTGAGAAAAAGTAGAAATGAGTTCTGGTGAAAAAAAGTTCACGTTGTGACATTTTATTGATTGATGTGGAAAAGATTAAAGATTTCTAACGTCCTAGAAAACCTATAGAAATGGCTGTATCGGAAGATGGTGTTGACATTGCCTAATTCGATACTTCGGTTATTTCATGGGTGTTTTCGATTTCGAATAACATTCCTGTGACTCAAAACAAATCGGAAAATCGCTTTTGAAACAACATCGCCATGGATTCATGTTACACGATCCCTACATGTATCAATCACGATTTTTTGTGGAATACCATCTAATGCAAGATCCAGCATTGAAACGTTACTTCAATTCTGCGCCGGTTCGAAAGGGATTAGAAACTCTTGGCGTGGTCACTGAACAGGATAATGTATTGTGTTCAACGAAAGAGTTTGCTGAATACTTGCGATACCTTGAAGGCTTGCGTGCATTGGAAGTGTCTGATAAAATGAGAAACATGGTTCGTATTAAAACAGTTCATGCTGAGGATTGTTTAAATAATAAAAACATGGTTCCAGCAACAAAAACGGCTATCCGACAATCTGCATAAGTTGACGAATGCAAAAAAGTATGAGTCTCAATTCACTGGCATTTTTCGACACAAAAGATATAAAAATGAACGAAAACCAAAGACAGACTTGACAAAGTAATTCTGATTTTCGAATTAAACCCACACGATGTAATTAAGTTTGGTTCTTCTCCAGTGATCGTAGGAAAATATATTTAAAGCAAACTAACTCGAACTTGGATCAAGCAGCCAAACGAGCTGCAAAAATTAAAGAAGAAAAACGAATTCGTTTCAAAGAGAAAAATTTCGAACAAGAAAATAGGTTGCATGGGAACAAGTTGGCGCTTCTTCAGAGAGAAAACATGTAATGATCTCAATATTTTTTTGGTTGGATTTGTTTTAAAATAAGAATATTTTTGCTTGAAAAACTTCAGAAAAAAGATCGAAGTGGAAAAGAAAATTACAAACAAACTGCAAGAAGCAGAAGAAAGGAAGAAACACTTACAAGATGAGAAGTTCATCAAAAAATATACCGACGGAATGGAGTTCTTCAAAAGACATTGGCTGTTTAGAGAGGAGACGCGAGAGAAGAATATCAAAATGTACCAATTTTATGAATATGAAAAACGCAGGAACATGAAAGTAACGTTTCAAATTACTTTACTCGTTTATACATTTTCACGGTGTGTGCCATCTAATTGATTGCTTCTCACCATAATTATCTGAAGAAACGGGAAGAGTATTTCCAACGAATCCATGAAAATGATGAAATCAATAAGATAAAATTAAAACAACAAATCGCCAGACAGAAGCAACTAAGCGAAATGGTTGAAAATGTTTGGAAGAAAATACACAAATCATCAAAAATGCATTTACAATCAGTTGATCCAAAAGACTTTGCGGAAATTTCTCGTCGATTTTCAGTATTGACTAGGAATTATATCGCGGGATATTTATATACACTGGAACATGTTCTGGGAGTACTAGAAATACCATCCTCAGCCGCACAATTACTAGAGCGACTTTTATCTTTTATGGCTCGAGTGGTTATTATAAGACCGGAAATGGGACCACCAAGATGTGATGATTTTGTTCGTGAAAGTGTTGCCGAGTTGATATCTCGCACTATAACTGAAATCAAAAATGACCGTATTAGGTGCATCAGAGAACATTGGACCAGAAATAGTCTCAAAGTTCAAAATAACAGTTTAATTAGCGATGATGAGAAAGAGTCAAAGGCCAAACGTGTCATTATTGATGATTCCGCTCAGATTATAGGTGAATCGTCATTATCATACGACGATTTTATAGGGAGAGACCTAAATAGAAAATCAATTCGAAAATCCGAAAAAACCGTGAGAAAACCAAAACTATAATGGATTTGTGTACATACTAAAGCTGATTCTATTTATTTCAGTACGATTTGAACGAAATGATTGATATTGGTGTAAGGAGTTTCTGTGAAACCATATCTAAAACGGAATTTCACTATTCAGATAAGCCCGATGGCCGCGATTTCGAACATTTGTTTTCATTCATCGATTTATCAGCGCATAATGGAAATGGTTAAAGTGAAACAAAGTCATTATTGGAATGCGGATAGCAATATCATTTCCTCGTGGACAAGTCTGAGTGAGTATTTTTTTTCCAATTGGACAGTTATAACAAAGAATTGCCATGAACCTATTTGTCACTCAACTGTTTTCAGATTTGAATTTGAAGGATTTATCATTCGCCGCTGGTGACATAATCATGCGTTTCCAGTGCACAAATGAATACTTCTGTGAAGTCATTCGGAATATCAGTAAATTTATCTGCCTTCAAATTAGCCAAGAGCTCGATAAAGAAATTATCAACGATTTGCCCGAAGAGCACAGTTCGAGTGAATCTGAATTTGAAGATTTACATTATAATTGACCTTTAAATTAAATCTTGTCAATTGAATTCTACTTTTTATCCAATAAAATATTTTTGAATGCCATACTGCCCACTGATTTCCTTTGAACAACACCATCTTCTGATACAGCCAACTCTAAAAGCTTTCCAGGACGTAATAAATCTTCAATCTTTTTCACGTCCACCGATAGAATATCACAATGTGAATATTAGACCAAGCGACGTCATTGTCAATATTTTAACAATTAACAGAAGTTGTTTTATTTGATTAAATGTACTTGGTAATAAAACAAATAAGTTGTCTAATTGCCCAAAACATAATTTTTTCACCGGAACTTTCATTGATAAAATAATGTTCAACGCTGTATTCAAAAATGTTGGCATACACGCTTGTATAGTTAAAAGCATATAAAGAGTTGATGATAAATTTATCAATGTAAAAAATTGTGTTCTTTTCTTATATTGTTTATCATTTCAATTTATGTCTGCAAATCAATAAACCTACTGTGAACGACATAATTTCCGTTTTATATCAAAATACATGATTTTTAATCAATTAATTCAAAAATGCAGCTTTTGGTTTTATAAACAATTTTGGATATGGGAATTGTTTCAAAATATGATTATTTGATTTTCTTCGAGTTTTTTTTAGATGCGAACTCTAACACCAGGGAAACCTTTAGCACCCAATCCTGTTACTTGGAACAAGCAACCTGCATTTTTATTAGCAGAGTCATCTTTTCCTCCAGTTGTTACATACAAGATGTCCAAATTTGGCCCCCCAAAGGCCACCGCTGTAACTTTTTCTGCTGGAATCGGAATTTCAAACAAAATTTTACCGCTTCTATATGAGATATGAATTATAAGAAAAAGAAATGGAGAAGCATTAGATTCTATCTTATGATTAAAAAATTTATTTGTAGAAAAGAGAATTAACGGTTTTGAAAGCTTTGAGCATCAAATTTATATTAACTATAAAAGAATACTTTTAATTTAAATTAAGAAAAGATAATTACTTTGGTTCGACTTTGAAAATTTTTGAGCCCATAAAAGCCGTCACATACAAATTACCATCTGTATCAATAGTGAGTCCATCGGGAAGGTAGCCAGGCATCTTTCCATTTAAGCTGAAATCTCTTACGAGACGTTCGTTGGCTTTAATAACAGAAAAAAAAATGTTGGAAATATATTTTCAATTAAAAAAAGCGATGCATTCATGGTTGATAATTGGATCATAGAAGAGGATTTTTCTCTTGAGAATAGCACAAAGATTACTCACAGATATCACCAGTGGCTGGATCCCAGGCATACTCTTTCACATAAAATTTGCCCGAGTCAATATGAAAAAGTTTCTTCTCTTTTTCGTTCCACGCTAAGCCATTGGAAATAATGACATTGTTCACCAATTCCGAGATGCCACCTTCTTTGGCATACTTATACAAAGCACCTTCAGGAAGCAATTTGTTTTCAATGAAAATGTCTTCGACCTTTTTGGGACACAACAAAGAAGCAGATTGAAAATTTATTCGAAAATTAAAATATATGATAGATATGCCAACTATAGCATCTTATTCTTCTTGCCAATTATTACTTACTTCAATAGAGCGCATAGTACCACCATAAAATCTTCCCGTTGGATCAGCTTTGGCTGCGTTGAACAAATTCTTCTCCTTTCCTTGTTCAACCTCGAAAGCAGTGGATTCGATGACTGCTATTGGCGATACACCATCCCAGCGTACGACTGCAACGCGTCGACCGAATGCAACAGCAAATTCATCGGTTTCACCTGGCTTTTTCGGGTTTGCAATTGGAATCACAAAACCAATTGCCGATTCTCCATCGACAGTGGCCGAATATACTTTATTCTCTTTGTAATCATAACGGTAGATTACGCCCTCAACGTCGTTATAGTAAACACTTTGCATTTGCTCGTCCCAATGGCATCTCGTGCTGATGATCGTCTTTGGCGATGCAACTGCTTCTACTTTGAACGACATCTAAATCACAAATATTCAAACAAGCGATCAAAACCAATATTGAAATTAAAATTCAATTTTTTTTTTCGAATAAATTTCTCACAATGAATTTTAGCAAGTTTGTCTTGGTTAAACTGAAGTGTTGATTAAATCCAATGTATGTTCTCTTGTGAACTGTTGGCTAGCTACGTATGCACTATTCATTGAAGTTGAGTATAAACCGTATTTATATTGGTTAAACGTCTGAATTTATCCGTATGGTCTTATCAACGTCCAATGATTATATACCGTACGGTTCATTTAATGAACGGAGAATTTGCAACGTCCTGTGACTTTTTTCCATCTTGCTTGATACATACAATGTATTTTAAATAGAAAATAATTCATTAAAATTATGAGATAGCAAAGAATGCAAGAAACGAACTGACTATCGACAATAAGAAAAAGGAAATAATAAAATTTGTATCACATTTTGCAGCGGATTTATCTCAACAGAAATTATTGTGTCTCTTTATACTTCCTTCTACCTACATAGTGATGTAGTAGAAACTGATAGGGTGTTTTTAAATTATATGCGACTGTTTATTACTCCTACGATTTCCACACTGCGATAATAGTAGTACGTGCTGATATTGCAAAAACTGTTTCCGGATTTGGTTGTTTTTCTATCAGACTTAACTATGAAATGGAAGAAAAAAAAGTTTATCAAAGTCAACACTCTGGTGGGGTCCATTTCAAGAACTAACTTTGCATTTATGTGTTTGAATAATTTTTACATTTTGCGAAGAAAAAAACGGTTCGAAATTTGTGTTTATATAGTCGAGTAAGAGTACTTTCGTCACTCGCGCCTGACTGTGATTATGTTTTTTCTCGAAATCCATTAATATTTTCAGCGCAGAAATATAACATTGAAGATCTTCGTATTTGAGAGCTCAAAAGAAAATAAAGTAACAAAATCGCCACACCATCAACGGTTTACTTGGCTTAAATGAAGGTGTTGTATTATACAACTTGTATGCAAAGCAGGGCTTAAGAATTGCACACTCAGTTCGCAGTGCAACTCATTTTAATGAGAGCCACAGCGCTCTGTGCGATACTCTACTCATCTAAGAGAATCATGTGTGCCTCACTTACTCACCAGTCTTCCGCTTCTTCTTCTTTTTCTTCTTTTCGCTATAGCAGATACGAACAAAACGAAGAAGAAGAAGAAGAAGAAGCAGAACATAGTGTGCGGTGTGCGTATAACGTACTGTGCGTATAAAAACTCATTTTCGTGAGTCGAGCAGCGCACACTAATTTATTGTTTTTCATTCAAGTGAGTGTGTGCGCTACTCGCAGCGTCCATTCAGTGAGATTCTTTGCCCCTGATGCAAAGTGCCCGAAACAAATTGTTCTTCTGTAGAATCTATTATAGAGACAATCAAGTATTCGTTGAAATAATTGACGTTATTTCAATAGTGACATTTTTCGTACTGTAAACAATATACTTAAAATAAAAATGAATTCTAAAGATAAAAGTTCACATTGTGATATTCTATCGCTGGATGTGAAGAAGATTAAACATTTTTTACATCCTGGAAAGCTTATAGAGTTGGCTGTATCAGAGGATGGTGTTGAATTTGCCCAATTCGATCATTTGTCTAATTCATGGGTACTTTCGATTCCAAATAACATTTCTGTGACTCGGGACAAAATCGGAAGATCACTTTTGAAACAACATCGGAATGGATTCATGTTGCACGATCCTCACATGTATCAATCACGATTTTTTGTGGAATATCATCGAATGCAAGACCCGGCATTGAAACGTTACTTCAATTCTGCGCCGGTTCGAAAGCGATTAGAAACTCTTGGCGTGGTCACTAAACAGGATAATGTATTGTGTTCAACGAAAGAGTTTGCTGAATATTTGCGATACCTTGAAGGCTTGCGTGCATTGGAAGTGTCTGATAGAATAAGAAACACGGTTCGTTATTACACGTCCTTTTTATTCTGAATTATATCAACAAAAATGTTTAAACTGATTTGAAGACATGAAACTAAAATCCTTACTCCAGCAACGAAAACGGCTATCCGATAATTTGCATAAGTTGATAGATGCAAAACAGTATAAATCTCAATTCACTGGCATTTTTCGACACAAAAGATATAAAAGTGAACGAAAACCAAAGGCAGACTTGACTGAGTAATTCCGATTTTCGAATTAAACCCATATCGATGTGATTAACTTTTGTTTGTCCCACAGTGTAAGACGTAAGAAAATATCTTTAAAGCAAATCAACTCGAACTTGGACCAAGCAGTCAGACGGGCTGATAAAATTAAAGAAGAAAAACGAAACAATTTTAAAGAGAAAAATCTTAATCAAGAAAATAAATTCTACCGGAACAAGTTAATGTCTCTTCAGAAAGAGTTCAAGTAATGGTTTTTCCGGTTATTTGGACAATTTGTATGTAAATGAGAATTTTTTTCTTAAATCTTGAATTCTATCCCCAGAAAAAAGGTCGAATTGGAAGAGAAAATTATAAACAAACTGCAAGAAGCCCAACAACGGAAGAAACACCTGCAAAACGAGAAGCATACAGCTAAATTAACGAATGGGGTAGAGTTGTTCAAAAAGCATTGGATGCTCGGAGAAGACACTCGGAGGAAAAACATTGACCTTTACGAATTTTATGAAGACGAAAAACGTCGAAACATTAAAGTAACTTTAAACATGATTAACTTTACTTCTTCATACATTTGTACCTTGTATCTATAACTGATTTTTAAAAATTTGATTGAATAATGAAGAAACGGGAAGAGCGTTTCCAACGAATCTATGAAAATGATGAAATCAAAAAGATACAGATGAAAAGTGAAATTGCCAGAAAGAAGAAACTAAGGGAAATGGCTGAAAAAGTTGTGGATAAAATACAAAAATTATCAAAAACGTATTTAAAATCAGTTGATGCAAAACACTTTGAAGAGATTTCACGTCGCTTTTCAATGGTCACCGAGCAGTATATTGCGAAATTTTTGAAAAGTATTGACGTTTGTCTGCTAGATCTAAAGTTTCCATACTTATCCTCACAATGGCTAGAACGGCTATTGTCCTTTATGGTTCAATTTGTCATTATAAGACCAGAAATAGGGCTGACAAAATGTGATTTGGTACTTGAACGTGTTGCCGGATTCATAGCTCGTACTATTACAAAATTCAAAAATGAACGAGTGAAACACATTAGGGATCATCGGGCCAAAGAGGAGCAAATAGTCAAACCTGGCATTTCCACGGCTGATGTGAAAAAGAAGCATGTTACCCTTGCAGATTCTGTTCATGAAATGCATGCATCGTCGAATTCGTACGATGAATTCATTGATGATTACAAGATCATTTCAAGAGTAAAATCCGAAAAATTCGTAAGAGAAACAAAGATATGATCAAGTTTTACAATAATAAGTATTTATTCTATATATTTTAGTACGATTTGAACAAATTTATTAATGTCGGTGCAAAGTGGTTCTGTGAAACTGTATGTAAAATCGAGCTTCCCTATTCAGATAAGCTCAATCATCGCGATTTCATCCATCTGTATGACTTTCAAAAAGTTTTTATTCATCGGTTCATAATTCGCATAATGGAATTGGTTAAAATAAAACAGCATCATTATTGGAATGTGGATCGACAAATTTCTACTTGGAAAGAGCTTAGTGAGTAGTTTTTCAATTGAACAATCATAATAAAAAAAAAATTCACGAATATGAGCATAATCTAGTGGTTCAACACAATTCAGATTTGAATTTAGAGGGTGTATCATTCGAAGCTGCCAACATCATTATAAATTACCCGTGTACAAATGAAGAATTTTGCATATGTATTCGAAATATTTGTAAATATATCTGCGTCCAAATAAGTCAAGATCTTGAAGAGTTCGAAATCGGTAAAGATATTACCATGCCCGAGGACGACAGCGGTTCTGATTACGAAGATTTACATCAAATTCTCTGAATCATTAACAATTGCTTTGGCAAACCATTCGGACCATAATATGTAAATGGCACAACAACTCAACATAAACTAACATAGTATAAAATACATCGACGCAAAAACTTATTTATTAGCATAAACATGATTTAATAAACAGATTGTAGTACATCGAACTGTCTCAATGAGTTGTTATTCTTCCAATTGAATGTCACCTTTCAAATAAAATAGATAAAAAGTGTGAACTGGTTAACTATGATTCTATGTTTTGTTTCAAATTTGTTCGATTGATATCAAGTATACTTTGAATTGATCAATGTCATTCGATTTCAGAGCTGGAAAATTCAGCAACAAGAAAAACAAAATGAATGAAAATCATCGTGCCGATATTTTGTCGTTGAATTTGAAAGATATAAAAAAATCATTGCCGTCTGCGTTGCAAACCAAATTAATTGTGTCGAAAGAAAACCAAGATAATGAACCGTTACCTCAAAATATCATCAAGCCATGGATGCTATCGATATCCAGCCAAACATGTGTCAGCCGAAACAAAGTCGGCCAAGAACTTTTACAGCACTGTCGCCACGGATTCGTTTTGGATGATCCGTATATTCGAGAGACTCGATTCTATGTCGATTATCATCGCATGCACGATCCAGGGTTGAAAAGCTACTATACCTCGATTCCAGTGAGGAATCGCGTAAAGAAGCTCGAATTGGTTACCGGAGAAAACGATGCCCTTTGCACGAACAAAGAGTTCATGGATTACATACGATATCTTGACACCAATATCAACCACAATCTGACTCAAGTGAAGCAACTCAAAGTAAGTTAAGATTTTGAATATGAATTTAAAACATACAATACGTTCAGTTTTTGTGTGAAGGTTTTTCTTTTTAAAGATCGATTTAATTTCAGCGCAAACGAAGACTATTAGAACATTTTCACATGTTACAAAGTGTCAAGGAACATGAGTCTGGATTCACTGGCATTTTCCGAAAGAAAAAATACACTTTTGAAAATGTCTCAAAAGCACACTTAGACCAGTAAGAATTTGTGCAATGATTTACAATTTCGAATTATTCGATTATTGTTTAATCCTGGTTTTTGGTGCATACTATCTTCAGAAAAAGACAATTTAAACTTGGTAAGCTGGTGAAAAAGGGAATGAAGGCCGTTGAAAGACATACACAGCTGATGGAAAAAAAATCAATGCAATTCAGAGAAAGACATCAAGCAAAATTAGAAAAATTGAGACCAAGAAAACAGATAATCATTCAGAACGAAATGAAGTATGAATTCATGGTCAAACTGTATTTAACTCAAGCAACTGGATGGACAATATTGAAATGTTTCTATTTTACAATCATTTGTATCTTAGCAAAAGGATCGAATTGTTGAAAATCATAAATGGGAAATTATATCTGGCCAAGAACCGCAGAGACTGTATGACGATGGAAAAAGGAGTGAAGAAAATGAATGAACGAATTGATCATTGCAGGAGACATGCATCGTTTAGAAACGAAATTCTGCAAAAAAATATCGAAATATTTAAAATGTACGAAGAGGAACAGCGCAAAAATATTGAAGTATGGTGAAGTTTTTTTTTTCATCGCTTGTAGCCTTTTTATTTGTTGCCTGATCTGCAAATTCAATTTCAAAACGAAAATATATTTTCCTTTCAAAGGAGCGCAAAAAGCGTATCAACGAGCTTCGTGAGTACAATGAAAGTAAAATCATACGATTGCGAGGAGAGATTGCCAAGAAGGAGCGAAATGCTGATGTGGTGGAAAAGTTTATGAAGAACATAGAGCTCTTGAAAGTAAAGTACATGGAATCATTTGACCCAGCCGATTCAAAGGAGGTATATCGACGGTTTGCGTTGCTTAAACAGCCTTTCATTACGGAATGTGTTGAGATTGCAAGCTCTACACTTCAACACTTGAACCTTCCTGTGTCAGCAGCGGTGTTGGCAGCGCGAACGAGGAGAATTATGGAACTTCGCAGCATAATTATACCTGAAATTGGCGCATCAAAGTGTGTTTTTGTACAAGGACGAGTTGCTGAATTGATTTCACTCACTATCAAACACATTAAGAATGAACGCTTAAAAACCATCAAAGACTGCTGGAACAAACGCAAACTAAGAGAAGCCGAGACAGAAGCTGAAGCCAGCGATCATAAATCTAAAAATGCTTCCCCCAAAAAAAGAATAACCGTTTCAGTAAATGAATCAAGTAAAATAATCGGTGAATCAGCGTATAGTGAATTTATTGGAGATTTAGCACAAATTTCTGCTAGTGGACTCACTGCCTTTGTAAGTTATCTTCCGGGTGAAACTTTAATACAAAAACATAAAACATAAGTGTCCTTAAAGTGGTGTGATTCATTTTAGTACAATTTGAATGTAGTCGTCAAACGGGAACTGAAGGAATTTTTTGAATTTATATGCCAAGAAAAATTTGAGTTCTCAACGAAATTGGACGATCGTGATTTTATGCACGTGTATAATTTTCAAAAGTACTTAATTTACAAGTCGATACGACGCTTGATGGAATATGTCAAAATTAAGCAAAATCATTTTTGGACACGAGCACGAAATATTCACACATGGCGATTACTAGGTAACACATTCCCAGAACCGTCCACATTCTTTTACTAAAACCACCATTTAAACTCAAATTCCATTTGTATTTTCAATCAATTTGTCTTTCTAGATCTTAACCTAGCCGACATTTCCCTTGAAGCAGCTGCCCTGGTCATGGATTTCCCAAACAAAATCGACGAATTTTGCGAATGCATCAAGAAAATCAGTAAATTCATTTGTGTTCAAATGAGCGACACGCTTGAGAAAGAGAATATTGAAGACTCGGATTCCATGAATGAAAGATACTCGTTTTTCAGCGAAATAGAAACGGTATTCTGATGTTGATACTGTATGAAAATTTTATTCTGTAAGAAATAAAAAAGTTACAGAACCAAATTCACGAGAATGTGTATTTATTGAATGCTAACTTATTTGTAACTTACCTCAATTCATTCCATTTTTCCTTTTCGTTTCATTTATCCGCTTCTTAAATTTTCATTTTCCCAGCATTTTCCTTTAAATCAATAAAAACGTGTCATATTTTTAGAGCTAAAAGTATTTTAATATCAAGTGCCCTTTGCACAGCCGAAATCAAGTTGATTTCATCAGTCTGCACAAGAAAGTAGAGCTGAAAATGAGCAAAATCGCAAGCATTCCACGTTGGAATTATTTATCATTAAACATCAAAGATCTGAAGAAATCCACATCTGGAACTAAATTACAAGTAACTAAAAATGATGAGTCCACACCACCAATAAATCACAGTGCCATTTTGCCATGGATCACTGTGTTCAAACATTTTCAAATGACCAGAGACAAAGTCGGAATGGATCTTTTGAAAGGCTGTCGGAACGGTTTCCATTTGGATGATCCGTACATTCGAAACACGCGATTTTTCACAGAATATCATCGATTGCACGATCCAGGCTTGAAACGGTACTACAATTCGATTCCAGTGAAAAATCGAATGAAGAAACTTCAATTGATCAACGATGGAAATGATGCGATATGCACGAATAAGGAGATGATCGAATATTTACGATATTTAGACAGCATTCGGTCACGAAATGATGTCAATTCAATGAAAGAAAAGGTTTGCTATTCACGTTAAAAAACGTGATTACAATTTCAGTCTACTTGCAAGCTCTTTATTATTAGTACTCGAATCACGCGTTTTAACTTCATCTTTTCAATAAAATGCAGGAAGAGAATCGATTGTCAAACCATTTTCACAATTTAAAAGAGTTAAAAAAGAAAGAAACTCAATACACTGACATTTTTCGGCGAAAAAAATATAAACGTGAGCCAACATCAAGTGCACACTTGAAAAAGTAAGTGATTTATTTCAATATAATTGAGCCTTGAGAGAGATTTGAGATTCCTTTCAGACAACAAACTCTCAAGCTGCAGAAACATATTGATCAGAAGCGAAAGGCAATCGAGAGAGCAGCCAAGGCAAAAACTGAACTCAAAGGTCAAATCAAACATAAAAACGAACAAAAAGATATTAAAACCATTGCAAAAAGGAAAATTGTTTTCGAATCGAATTCCAAGTATTATTTTTTCACACTTTTACTTTTTCTAAACGACCGAAATTGATCCGAGAAAAAGATTGAATTGTTTTCTGTTTGAATATACTTCAGGCGTCGCACGAAAATTCGAGAAATGACCAAAAAACGATTGAGCGCAGCTGAGCACCGGAAAAAGACTTTGCAAGAGGAGAAAAGAGTGTCAAAAATGACGAAAAACTATGAATTTTTCGAAAAATGTATGAAAGTTGGCGAGAAAAATTATTACAAAAACATCGAACTATTCGAAGAGTACAGCCAGAACAGAAATGAAGGCATGAAGGTAATTAGAGACGAATTCTATTCATCACGAGCCATGCATTAAGTGTGTTAAAAATTTTTTAACTTGAAATCAACAGGAGCGTCAGAAAATGATGCAGAAAATTCATGAACTAAACGAAATTGGCATGGTAAAATTTCGTCAACAGATTTCGTTGTGCAAATTTAAACAAGAACAATGTCAAGTGCTCGTTGACAAAATTATGAAGAAAATCCCAGCAAAAATAAAGAAATTCAAACCAATGATCAAACCCAAAGACTTGGAAGAGGTTTCGCGACGTTTTTCGATGTTAACGCCAGAGTTTGTTAGCAATTGCGTTGAAAAAGTGTATGGAATACTTCAAAATATGGAACTTCCAACATCAACTTCAGATGTTATGTCCGAAGTCACGAGTTTAATGATTAAACATGTAGCTTTAATACCAACAGTAAACCCAATCAATTGTCAATTAGTTCGGCAACGCTTGGCCGAGATTATTACTCGATTTGTTATTGACATCAAAGATAAACATGTACAACGCATGGTGAATGAGCTGAAAAGGGAAAAACGTGGTGAAAACAAATGTGGAATTCTTTATAAAGGCAATGATTTGTCGTCGTCGTCGTCATCATCAGATGGTGGAAAATTTCATGTTTGTTTTGCTGAAACAACAGAAATTGAAGAAAAATCGGAAACAGATGAATTTAAACAGAAAAAATCCATTTACTCGTCGAAATTCGATAAAATCGTACGTAATGCGACTCGCAACACGAGACTATCATGTCCAATGTTCGTTGTCAAGATATCAAATGCGTTTTTTATTCAAAGAATTTCGTTCTATATTTTTTAATTGATTCTTGTTGCAGTATGACTTGGATGATGTCATTCACAGAGAACTGGAACGATTTTTTAAAGTCGTTGTCACCAATAAATTTGACATCCCAGACGATTATAATACGCGTGATTTTGTTCATTTGTACGATTTTCAAAAATATTATATCTACACTTCAGTCGAACGATTGAGAGGACTTGTTGAAATGAAACAAGAACACGATTGGATAATCTACGAACATTCATCATGGAAAGGTGAACGTAAGTGTTTTCTTCATCTATTTGATAAAAAGGAAACATTTACAAATCAGCGATAATGTTTGATTGTTAAAACTCGTCCGGCTATTCCTTCAGAATTCGACCTGGAGAGTATAACATTGATGTCTGCCGAAATGGTAATGAATAATTCGCGAACACCAGATGATACTTGTGAATGTGTTCGCAGAATTAGCAAATATATTTGCGTTCAAATGGATATGGAATTTGAAATTGAAAAACAGAAGCTTCTGACAGACGAAAATCGAGTTGCAAATATTGAAAAATGTTCTTCACAACCCGATTCAGACTCCGCAAAACAATAAAGAGACAATATAATTCGTTTTCTGCCTAAACTAAATTAAAATCTCTTTTATTTACAAAATTTCATTCTAGATCTCATGTTTATATACAATTCAATTGTTTATATCGTATGCAAGCACCAATATTTTCTTCGGCAAAGCCTTTATTTAATCCATCGCCAAAGTGAACGCCAATAGCGAATGGTGTGACGGTCGATTCAACGCGACACGGTGATACATTTGACGGGCACAATGAATCACCGCAGTGAATTGGCGAACACGTTGGTATGGAACCGGTGCCAACGGAAATGAAATCCTCAACAATGCAAGGCAAAGTGATTCGATCATTACAGCTAGAATAAAACTGGCGTGACTGTCGTGCTTTGTGTTCTTTATTAACTGGCACCGTTACCGGGTCAACGGATCGAATTGACCGCCGGAATAATGCGGCTCTCGTTATAAATGATCCGATTGAAAAAAGTGACGTTAAATCATCTCGATTGTCAGCATCATCGTCGTCATCGCCTGAACCTTCAACATCATCATCCTGAGGAGCCGGAGTTGTTGTAGTCGTTGTCGTTGAGCTCATGGTTGAATTACCCGAAGTCGTGGAATTTCCTGAACTTGGACTGGTCCCATTATACGAATTCAGCATGGATGGATCTTGGTATGGATTGGCTTGTGTAATCACACTATCCGCTCCATTTGTGGACACAGTCAATGGTATTCCACTCATTTGAGCTGTAATTAGATGATTTATTTTATTGAAGGCAGTTTAATGGTAACAATGTCTTTATTGCATGGTTTCTAATGTGCATCATCTGTCATTCGATTTACCTGTTAAGGCATTTGGATTGATTGGTGTGAGCACCCCATTCGGCGACAACACTGCCGGAGCACCGTTTGCATCGTAAACAATTCGATTTGGCGGCAGAATTCCGTTGGTGGCATAAGGATTGGGTATCAGCATACCATTGGGTCCAATTATCGGATTATTTAGGGCTGGATTTGGATAATAAGGGTTAGTTTGAAATGGATTTATTTGATATGGATTATTCTGATAAGGAAAGACACCATTGTAACTGGAATAAGGAGAGGCCAATGGACTCGCATACGCTGCTTCTCTCGGTCGATTTGGTCCGATGCGGAACGATTGCTCATTGCACGGCTCATAGGCGATTGAACACATTTTGGATTCTTGACGAATGCACGCTTTGTACTTTTGATTCGATAAATGACGACCATTCTCGGCGAAATTGAACGTCTATAGGGAAAACATAAAAGAATTTGCAATTAATAATATGAAATATTTTTATTAATATAACAAATCATAGTTTTTTATTGAGAATGTTGACAATTTAAAATAAAAACTCAAATAAAATACATTCACAAATAGCCAACAGCCTTTCAATATGATTGCAAATATCCCAAGTATTACTGTTCAAGTGTTCATTGTTCACTTTACCTGTATAATTCCTTCATTACCAAAGAAATATTGAAGACAACCAGTTGGAGCTCTTTGACTGAATGGAATTTGCGAGACACGAACTTCCCAGAATCGAGCTGTTTCAAAGGAGCTAGTGAAATTCATGATAAGATCAATACCCTTGGGCGTTTTTCCGTCGCGTGCCTTCCGATTTGGAACATCATAATAAACTGTTTACAATAAAAAAAATGTACATTTTTAGATGTTCTATTAAAGTCATAAGAGATTCCGGTGTTCAAATAACTCAAATACGAAATCGAACAATATTGATGGGAAATCGTTTGGTCCATTCATATCAGCAGTATGTGAAAAGAAAATATTATTCTTACTATGTTGACCGTTGTTATATCCGCACAATTTGAAATTACCGGAAGCGCCGCCAACGAGTGAAAATGTATCACCATCACATGCACCGTTGGCACGATTGGGCTGACCCTACGAGAAAAAAAAATGAGTTATTGATTGTTTGTTTCCTTTCATTTGAGATCCGATCGATAAATATTTACAATGGAAAAGTGAATAAAATCGAATCTCAACTGGCTAATATCGGATGACATCATTTTAATCTTGAGCTTGCAACTTTTGATGTGGGTTGACATTAGAGCCGGAAAGTTGGGTGATATGAAGTATGTGATGTTGTTCTTGATTTCTTGATCGCACGTTGCAATAACTGTATAAATGAAAGCAAAGCCTCAATTAATCTTCATCATCTTCATCATCATCATGTTCATCATTGAACATTGTCATCGTTCGCAATAAAATCGAACACTTTCTTTCTAGAAAACTTACACACACAACAAGCACCGAAGCCAAGTGCACACTGTCCTTTGGCGGTGCCGCCTTTTTGATGGCAATCATATACGTTCATACATACTCCCGACCGTAGACCGTCTTCCGATTTGCATTCATCTTCACTCGGTGTTGCAAAGAAATTTAGCACTGCAACCAATTCGAAAGTAAATGAAGAGAGCAGGTCGTTTATTTTGTATCATCATGAAATCACATCGGCAAAACGATTAACAATTTTAAAAACCATCGATTAATATAAATGTATAATATGAAGAAAAAAGAATGAGGAAGAAGAAGCAACGGACAAACATATAGAATTAACACAGTTTTCTTCTGTGTGTTCCATACCTTTCCCGTTTCGAAAACTGGTTTTGTCTCGATAGTCGTGGATCTCAAGATCATTCGATGCAGTCAATGTGCTGCTGCCGCCGTGTTGTGTGTGCAACGATGATGTTGCTGCAGCTGCTTTATTCTGTGGCGAACCCCAAATGTCGTATGTCTTCATACTCGGCCAAGAACTACCTGCCGATGCACCATGCACATCGTACACTTGCTTACATACGATTATCAATAGCACCACAATGACACAATAAATATGACTATAAATTCTAACTTTGGCACAGTAACCCATTTTTACAGCTTTTATCTTTCTACTTCGATTTCGTTTTCGATTTCAATATTTAGAATGTTGTTTGGAAGACAAAATAAACTTTCGCTTCTTTCGATTATTTCTAACGGGATAAATGTTCCAACAACACATTTCCATTCATCCGAACAATTTACGATCGACGCAATTCAATTGATTCATTACACTGTTTTGATATGTGTTATGCGGATGAAAACACAATAATAACAACAACACAATACACATTATTGTTGTTGGTTAGCTAGGAAATTTCACTGCGGAAAGAACAATTTTTTTTCTCTCACTATGATTGACCTTAACTATTTGTAATATTCAATTTATTTCATTTATAAATAAATAAATTTTTTTTTTATTCTACCGGATTCTACACTTTTTTCGTCTTTTCACATTCTTTCTCGAATTTTTCACATTTATTTTTATTTATATTTCTTTTCACATTTATTCACGAAGCAAAAAAAAATAACTTTTATTACTACAAAAAATCAACAAACTTGGAAAAATCGCAGCATTTTTTCTTGATTCGCGACAAAATGCTGGTCCGCTGAAATCACATCGTTTGATTTGCACGCATGCTAAAACACTAATCGATGAAAAATTCATTCAGGTTGTCGGACGGAGTTGATTTAATTTCTCGTTGCCTAAATCGAGCAAAAATGAGAAGAAGAACACGATAAAAATGAGATGGCACGAGGAAAACGATGCGAATATCACAATCATCCACATGTGGCCGCCGCTGATTCAACAAAGAAATGCAAAACATACGTACATATGAATAAAACGATGCTTCGGCATCAGAGAATGAGACAGAGCGAGAGTACCGGGGGCCCCGAAGATGTTATGCGAATGCGATTGTGTGTCAATTATTCCCTCTCTACATACCATTTCTTTTTCTCTTATGTTTACTTTTACTAAACATTCAGCAAAAAGCATAAGCATCGATAGCACCGCATAGCCGCCGTGTCCATCCGTCGATAGGAAATTACTGTTTAAATCTTTCGTTCATTCATTCATTCTGTATGTATCTTCTAAACCGATCAGCAATAATCATAAAATTGTTGGCCGAACAGACAGTTCGCCTCTTTGCTTCTGAATAATAATAGCTCATTAATTAAGCATCATTCCATTCAATAGAATGCAATGCATTGAATTGACACCGTTAAAAAGCCACACAAGAAAAAACAAAAATGCTAATGCTTTTATTGAAACTATATGTGTATTGTTATTCTCTCGGTTTTATTTGACAAAACAACATAAAAAAGTTTCTCGTTTTTGCCCATTTGAGTGTAAGATTCAAAACACTTTCTTCATCAGCACAAGTTCGATACCGTAATGTGGTTTTAAGCGAAGCGAGCGACATAAACAAACGCCAATGTCAATAGCGTATTAATACGTGTATTGATAGTGGTCAGTGTGTGCGGTTGTGTGTTAAGTAAGCCATATGCAAATGACCGTTTGGTCATTCTTTGTCGCGTTAACAAGCATGCTCGTTGCTCGTAAAATGGATAAAGACGATAAAACCCAACTGCAACAGCCGACATCAACCACATGATTCAGTTATTGGGTTTTTTTCTCGGCTGCTGTTGTCGTTGTGACGACGCTAAGAAAGTTGTAGCCGGTCGCTTGAGATAATATTTGGGTCAGTTTATGCGTGCGATTCATACACGACGGCGACATTCTAAAGAGTAGGTCATTCAGCGATGGTGAAGAATGCTCATATGAAAAATGATGCTCTTTTACAATCCGGTGCGCCTCATCTTCTTCTAAACGATTACACGGTTCATGCGGCAGTCAGCAAATTGCCCATAAGCACTCGGTTAAAGACGTGTTTTTTTGTTCGTTAACTCTTTACTTTTAAATTATTATTATATCGACAAAGTGCTGAGTAAAAAAGCAAATCGATGTATAAACGTCAGCTATTTAACAACAATGGACAAATTACCATGTAACATATTTCATTCAATTAGCGCATTGGTTTATGATTCAGTGGTTTTATGGTGGTCTCAATGAAAGTGCATGATTTATTCGGTTTCACATTCTGTTCGATTAGATTAGTATTTAGCATTTATTTATAGGTATTTTTGCGTCATTTTCAAACGATCGCGTGTTTTTGTTTTTGTTTTTGTTTTTGTTGGCGTGATTTCACTTTTCAAATTGAAATGGAAAATTCTTTCGAATGAGCTGATATTCGATGAATTGGAGCATTGGAAATATGTCCACTTGTCTGGCTTTTATGTCTAATCAAGTCAAATCAAGCTTCACTTTGAACCGTTACTCTCCAAAGATTTATCGTCTTTGTCAATTTCGATTTTGGGCCCGAAGCAATCGCGGCGGTTTGATACAAATGTAAATATACTTTGCATTCATTATGCCCCACGGTCAGAAACAAGACGCAGACAAAGCAAAACAAATTACCATTACCACTGGGTTTGGTCGGCCTATCAATGCTACGGTTCGCCGTCGATGCTGACTGTTTCTCTCTTTCTTGGTTCCCCTTCATTCACGTTCAATTAAGTCGTAATTTGTTTTTTTTCTCTTTTGATTATTTGATTAACGATGAAATTGCCTTAATCGAATGCTCGAGCAAACGGAAGTTTTTTGTGTGACATTTTTTTTCCTTCTTGAAATAAATAGCAGAAAAAATCTGCGTTTGTAAATGGGTAACACAATTATTGGGTTTATTTTCTGTGAACGAGAGAGAGAGAGAGAGAGAGAGAGAGAGAGAGAGAGAGAGAGAGAGGGAGAGAGAGAGAGAGTGAGAGAGAGGGAGAGACGCAAACACACACAGAGAGAGAACGTCCGTCTCAAACCGCTAAAATTTAACAATCACAGAAACCGACTTTGTCTTTAGCGCTTTATAAATAAATATAGAATCTTACCTCCAGTCTGGAAGCCCTCAAAAAGATAGAATCTACAAGAAGAAAAAAACAGTAAACGCTCACGATGTTCAGAAACAAAACAGATTCAGTTTATGTGGTGAAGATGGTTCATTAGATGAATTCCGTATTCATATCACATTTATTTCGCATCGCTAGATTTTTGGCATGAATGTTGAAATCGATGCTCATCTCAATAATAAACCAATATTCACCGCAAGATTTGTGTTGTTCCCCTCCAAATGGGTCTGCATTCGATCGCAGTTGAGAAAAAACATTTGTGTCGATGGTTCCACGTAGAGAAATAACCATTTGCATTTTTTTTTTGGTTCAGTTGGGGAATTCGGCAACATGACTCTGCACATCGTCTGCATTTTTTATGCAGAGTTATTCCGACAGGAAATCGGCTGGATACATTTCACTTCGACCAAATGGAATCGAAATTGGTTAACATGCTGTTGATATGTTAAACATTGAACAGAACATTGTTTCAGCATTTCCCATGTGTTTTCCTTCATGCACTTCGGTCGGCTGATTCGCGCGATCCAAATCTCATGTAATCACACATTTTTTCGGGAAAAATGTTCATCGGCACATTGTTCTGGGGAATCTTTCACGTTTTGCACATCCATTCGTTGACTCACTTGTAAATCGTTTTAAAATATTCTAGGCGACCGATGTTATTGAAGCACGAAATCATAAATATTTATTTTTCACGTTCAACACGCACAAACTACATTTGCACAGCATCAATGGAACAAATGGTGATTTTTTGAATGGTATTCGATTGAGTTAGCGAGTCGCGGATATGAATGAAAGAAATTGGACTACTGAAATTGGATTGAAAGCATAAATATTGCTCAAAAATGCTTAAAATTCGTGTAAACATATCTATGATTGTTCTTTGTGGTGAAAATTTTCTCTTTTTTTCGTATATATTTTATATAAAATTTTGTTTATGAGAAATTAGTGCTATTAATAAGGAAAAAAGTTCTTTGATAAGGAAAAAAGAATGAGTGACGTTTCTCGCTTTAGTGGTGTAGTTGAACAAACGGCAATTCGAACGTATTGAGGCAATACAAAAACCAAATCATTTAAAATTTTGTTATTCATTTTCTTATTTTGTTATTTGTTTGCGTTTGATCACTTTCTCGAGAAAACAAAAATTCTATCAAAAACCTTCAGACTTTTTCTTTCAATTGACCGCAATGTCCAGCGTGCACGTATGATTTAATTAGACGAAAATTTCATACCCATTGAATTTGTCTAAAAAATTAGCGCTGAATACAAAACAACAATCCCATCGACATTGGTATTCAAATTATTACATTCATCTGCCTTTCATCGAACGTTTCGTCAGAATATTCCCAGCTTCATCTTTTTGCTTTTCTTTATCTCTGCCGAAAAAAAGCATTAAAAGGCAAAGTACACTTTCCTGTTTTTAATAATGTGTGTTGAAACTCATCATTTTTATGGCTTCCGATTCAATTCGCTGGAATTGAGTGTGTTTTTTTTTCTCTCCATCTCAGAAGATAATCAAAAAGACATCGTGTCATTATGATGTGTACATGGCGAAAAAAAAGTGTCTGAGTCAATGAGGCGCGCATAAAAAAGTGCTTCATAGCTCTTGTGTTCAATATTTCGATGTTTATGAAGGCGTCAACGTCGTTAACCAGTTATCGTTATCATCGTGTCGATTCATTACCGGTTGCTCCTTTCTTCCTCTGTACATTCTCACGATTTTTTTTTATGTTTATTCACCTCCTGCACATTAGAACACATTTTTAATGGATAAATACAGCGTGTAAAAATATTGCGGTGCACGCTTAATTTCCTTTGCTCACTACACTTTGCAAGATACTGATTTTGCGCTCCCTCGTGTTTATGTTTTTTCCAACTCAAAATGAGCCTTGCCTTTGAAATGAATAGAAAAAAAATGGCAAACATTGACTTTTATGGCTTTCTCTTCGTAAAGAAGACGAGAAAAAAAATCGCAGTCAAGATAAAAAGATGAAAAAAGAAAATATTTGGCGAATCGATTGCTCGGCGGCAATCTTTTTTGTTTGAATTAAATCGAGGGAAAATATAATTAAATATTGTGGCTGCCGTTTGTTCAAATACCGAGTTAAATGTGATCACTGATGCTATCGACTGACAAAAACCCATCAAGTAGGTTACTTGAAATGCACCACATAGAACAAAAATTATTGTCTTCGGAACGAGATACGGTGTGCCAGCAATTTATAATGCTAAACGAATTCATTTGAATATTTGTGACAGCGGTTTCGGGATTTTCGGTCGTTGATTTTTGTTGTGAATATTAAACCACGGCATTTTTACGGTGGCGCGTAAATTCATCAAGCCATTGCGTTGACTTGCCATGCAATACTTCAATCATTCGGCTCGTGTTCTAATAAGCGGTGAATTACATTCTGTTTGGCCAAATGATTCTGGATCATCATTGATGTGCCTTTCTTTAGCAAATCGACGAGATGTGTGTGTTTTTGTGTGCAGCGTATAAATAGCATTTGACGGTTAAAGTTTATCTGTGTATCATAAATCATAAACATGTCGCCCTATTTTCGACTCGATACCGAATGCGACAGTTATACATCGGGTCGTCTGCTCTTTCTCTCGTTTGCATCCATTTAACTTTGCTTTGTCATTGTTTGGCTGCTTTATTATTGCCGATGTCGAATTCGGAAACGTTGTGGTTTTTAGGACGACAGTTCACAACACAATTAAACCGAATCGACAGAGAAGGAGATTGTGTGTGTGTGTGAACATTTCAAGGGGGATGCATTTCTATATCTTTAATCATTTTCTTTGATCAAATACACAACAATATTCAAGTGACATGCTTCGACTTCTTCACAATAAGTTGTAACGAGAGAGAAGATTGTTGCCGGCCGCAACCGAGAGAGAGAACCGAACCCGGCAAAATCGATTACATGAATTATTATTAGATTTCTTAAGACGAAGCCTCCAGCAAATCACAATGATATACACCATACGATGTGTATCATGTATTTAGAGGAGGCCGAATTTCCCAAAATCCAATATACAAAACACCACCAGCGGCAAAACACGAATAATTTATTGCTCGATTCCATTTGCCGATTCGGAACGATAAATGAATCACACATATTTAGAGAGTATAATTGGACATTTATTTGGATATGGATACCATTTTCACATACATGCGAAGAACAAATACATGCACTTCGAGTGCTCATTAGAAACAGATGCAAATCGACGCAAATGAAATTGACTTCACTGGGGGCTTGAACAAATAATTGCGCAATTATTCGCAGGGAATTGAACAAGAGAGAATTTTATTTTTTCAAAGAGTTTCTGAAAGGGGGAAGAGCGAATGAATCGAATATGGGAGAAATGAAGAAAAAAAGTAACCAAGAAGGTACACAAATACCATTTTTCAAATGAATTTGGTACCAAGAAGATGATTTTAAACTGGAAACGTGCATTTTTCCCTGGATGCTCAATATTTTCTTACATTTTATTCCAGCTCTCCTGCTCTCTCCTGCACTCATTCCTTCTATTTTGCCCATTGTTGCTTAGTTCTGCTTAATTTTTTCTCAATATTGATTAATTATCTTGATATTGAATATTATCTTGATAATTAATAAATATTGTGAAAAAATTAAACAGAACTAAGCAACAATGGGCAAAATAGAAGGAATGAATAATATCAAGATAATATTCAATATCAAGATAATTAATCAATATTGAGAAAAAATTAAGCAGAACTAAGCAACAATGGGCAAAATAGAAGGAATGAATGCAGGAGAGAGCAGGAGAGCTGTGATAAAATGTAAGAAGAAATTGAGCATCCAGGGAAAAATGCACGTTTCCAGTTTAAAAACATCTTCTTGGTACCAAATTCACGTTTACTTCCGTTGACAGGATGTTTTCATTCGATATTTTTGTAAAAATAATTCTCTGTATTGACTTTTCTGCTTATTATGAATTGATGAAATTCCCCCTTACCGAATCGTATGTCCCGTTCCATAGCTGGTGATGCTTTGGGGTCAATATATTTTTCAACTGTGTTTATTTAGAGCAAGTAATCGATTACCGTATATTCCCATGTAGAATCCTGACACAAACATTGTGTAAAACAAGGAAAAAACCTGCGAATGACTTTTCTGCAAACACACACGGGTGCAGATATTCTTGTTCTTGATTCGACTAGAAAATGTTTGAAAATCGCTTGAGTGTTGTTTTCAGTGGCTGTAAAACGCTTCGATTCATTCAATATTAATTCATTGATACGGAAACATGCAGTGAGCAAGCACATATAGCACATGCATGGCGAATGGAAAAGAGTCGAATTGGAATGTTTGGTTCGATTGTGCATTTGAAAATTGAAAAATAGAAATCGGCCGACGCATGGACAATGGATACACGGTGTGCCCATTGCCTCTCGATTGCATTCTCTGGCACAAAGCGGCACACGTTATCGCCGGCCGTATTGAGAGAGAGGATTTATTGAGAAAAATGAATTATTACTTTCGGATAGGCGATAAAATTGGTGCAATCGAGCGAAAATATGCACGTATGCAGATTCATAATTTACGAGCGATTTGTTAACACAAATGGAACGAAGAAAAAAAAATGGCCAACAATGCTCACAGTTTCACTGACTGTTAATTACTTCGGATAAGCCCGAGTGCAATCCGGCATGAAATTCGACTCTTTAATGAAGATATTACCCTATGATTCGCATTGATTCAAAGAGTGGAAAAGTTGATGTTGCAAAACTCTCCCAAGCACTCCCATTTTCTTCAGCATTGCCATGTTCAGCCCGTCAATAAGAGCAGAAGAAACCGTTTCCATGTAAATCGATTGATTCATGTAACATTTTGTGTGAATTTAACTTGTCTATTCATTGTTTGTCTATAGAATAGCGTTAATCGTCTGAATGTAATCAAACGCTTGCTCCACCTCCATGCCAAAAAAGACATCTTCATCATAAGTAAACATCCATCCGCGAATCCTTTCAATCGCTCTGAGAAATCATTTCGTTTGCCACACTGACTCTATCCACTTTCTGGCCTGCTTCGGCTTCGATGTCGAACAAATGTCGCATTTACATACATCGCCTATAAACAATTCAACCAACGTGGCATATATACGTACAATAGCACTTTCCAGTCCACTTCCAATCACAAAGCATGCGCCTTTACCACAGAACATACCATACGAACTACATCCCCTTTGGTTTATGCCATTCCTGATGCAGGAAAACAGATGACGTTCAAACGTTGTAGCGAGTGGTTGCACACATATTTGCTCTAGTGTTTTTTTCCTTCTTGTTATTTCTGAGACGTAGCATAACAACTGATTTCGATAAAACGAAGTTCACGTTAAGAACTGACACAAATAAAATATACTTGAATAGTCATTCAAAGAGATAGAGATTTTCAACGAAAATTTTTAACTGAAAGAAAAAAAAGTGAATAAAAATGATGAATTCAAGTGTTATTAAAACTGAGCGCTCAGTTGATAGAGCTCACTTTTGTGTGAAATGTGATAAACAAATTCAAGATCGGTATTTTTTGAAAGCGTTGAATGCATTTTGGCATGAGAACTGCTTGAAATGCAGTTGCTGCGATTGTCGTCTCGCTGACGTTGGTTCAACATTATTCACGCGCGAAAATGTGATTCTGTGCAAAAGTGATTACATTAGGTGAGAAACAGTGATTTTAAAGCAAATTTTTGAATCCAAAATTCATCTTATGAAAAAGAAAAAAAATATCTTTAAAAAAAAGATTAAAAAGCAATAGTTTCATTTTTAATTTTGAAGTTGAAATATTTTTATTTGAAAAAGTCATTTACGAAAATATCAACTGCTGATTTAAATTGAAATAATAAAGAAATCATTTAACGAAACGGCGTAATTTAGTTAAACATAAAGGATTTCAGTATCACTGTGAATCATTTTTTACACTTCTAATCATGATTTTTTCAAGCGTCTCTTGGGAATAGTCCAAAGAATCCTTATTAAAAATCACAATTTATTTTTTAAAAAATCCAAATTAACCAAAAATATATTCTCTCCATCCTTCTATAGACTGTATGGTAACACTGGCCACTGTGCAGCGTGCAATAAACTGATTCCAGCATTTGAGATGGTGATGCGAGCAAAGCGAAATGTTTATCACTTGGAGTGTTTTGCATGTCAACAATGTAGTCACAGGTATGTGAATCACAATGTGTTTCTTGGAAATTTTATTGTTCATTTCAAAATTGATGATCAATAACATCACGATGAACCAGTAGTAAAGTTTCTGACCGAAAATTGTATTTTGGTTTTTCATTGTAAAAATGCAGATTTTGTGTTGGAGACCGGTTTTATTTGTGTAATAATAAAATCTTGTGCGAGAGTGATTATGCCGAACTTCAGATGCATACGGAAATGAGTCAACAACAGAATGTCAGCAACACTAGTAGCAGTATCAACAACAATAATCACAATAACAATAACAATGAGTATATGAATCGAAATACACCAACCAAAAGTCAGGCATCTGGTTCGACCAGCACCATGATGCCGTTGTATTCAGAGAAGAATAATTTCACCAATTTCGATGTGCCAATTCACGTCAGATAAGCATTTCATCACATCAGTCATATCGGCTTAAATTAGCATAACCGTATAGTTACTCTTAAAATAAATCGTAGTCGTATTTTTGTTCGTTTCATCAAAAGTCATAACCTGTTTTTGTTTTATAATTTTCGTGATAATTGTAATGTTAAATATGGACGATGCAATAAGACTGTCCGTAGTCAAATAAAAAAATAGACGACTTTCCTAAAAATTAAATGAAAAAATGTTTAAATTGAGCCATTTTGATGCAATATTTTTTGTAGGTACAGTGGTACCTGGTACACATATAACGAAAGGGTTGTTCAATTAGGCCCGTTTAGTATTCCAGCCGTATGAGTTTATCTTTGAATAAATAGTGATACGTGATTTAGTTCGTTTTTGGCTTGGGCAAACATGCAACGCATACAGTACTAGTAAACATGAACGACATGAACGGAGACACTGACTGTTAATTTCTCACATTTTGGGGAATGCAAAACATTTACACTTATTCGGCTATTAAATGCAGACAATTCCATTAATAAGGCATGAATGCAGCAGTAGCAGCAGCAGCAGCAGCTATGGCTTAAGGATGGGTGCCGCACAAATTGCGCTCAATACATTTTAAGCGTGCAACGAAAAATCTAAGCACGATGCTAAGCCAAATATGCGGACTTGAGTAAATGCAATCGACGAAAATAGCGCTTTAAATCGGATAATAAGCGTAACAGTGTTTGCCTCTCGTTTGGTGAAAACGGCTTGCAACGGTCAGTTGAGTAATGAACGTAATTAATGAAACAAATTGATCCCATTCGATGGGTATATAAATACGCACGACAACGACAACCGACCATCCACCCGATGCCTTGCTCATTCTCATGCATGCGAGAGACCGGAACACTTATCCAACGTTAAGGTAATCAGCAATTGGGTACATAAATCTTTGTGTGCATACACACATACAGTGTCTCTGTCTCCCTTGAACTCACAAAATACAACACATGGGCCATGGCGCACACACGGCGTGTTGGTTTGAAATTTATCCTCGCTCGTAATTAATGCTCATTGGAATGGGGCGCAATCGAAGCAAACGATCGTTCCACATAAATGATTTTCCTCCAGTTTTTCAGCCCGTTCGTTGCTTTTTTGCATTCGAATTTTAGGAATCACAGTAAATTGTGTTAAATTAGGCACTCCAGCACACACACACACACACACACATACGCTGGCACACAGACGATTATTTACCTTTTACCGATTAGGGTCTCGTTAATCGAAACAAGTTCGCTTTCATTTGTTCGATTCTTCTTTTCGTTTTTCAAATGGATTCTCTTGCAATTGAAGTTTCCAATTCGAAGAATATTCCACATCTCAAGTCATTATTACATTTAGATAATTAAATAACAATCGACGCAAAACCAAAACATGTTCAAAAATTGCCGTTCTCTTCTACTCCAATCTCTATTCGTAAATTATAAATATCGACTAAAATAATAATTGAATACATTGTTGTTGGCCATGCACCACACCATGCATGCATGTGGTGTGGGGTGCGACAGAGCAGCATTTTGGTATTTTGTTTCGTGAGCATTAAATTAGTCAGAGCGTTTATCTATTTGCGCGAAAAGCTGTCATATACATCTGTGTTGCATCTCGTCGTGCATTTTGCGGTTTTTCAGGCCGACCATCGCCACCGTTTGATATCATTTTCCGGCATATGCTTACGCTCTACTACCAAAATCGTTTGTAGCATTTCACTCAAACCAGATTTTGTGTTAATTACGCGCGCACAAAACAATCAACAATAACAGCATCACCGCCAACCTCGAACCACCACCGATACAACGGACACATTTTCGCATTTTGTTGGAAACAATATGTGTGCGGTCGGTTACGGAATACGACAAACGAACGATTAGCACATTTCTATGCATTTCTATTCTTGTACATGCTCTTGCGAGGGAAGAGCAGTTGGTGATTTACAGAATATCACTTGGCATTTGCATTTGATGTGGTGTTTTCAAATTTGGTAATTTTTTGAATGAATACTGCTTCCGATTCGGTCACAAATCTTCATTTAATGTTATAGTGGCAATATTTTACTCAAAAACTTTTTCAAATTTTCCGAACCGTCTCCATCGTAAAAGCAACAAAAAGCACTCAATCGCCGTTGCCATGGGACAGTTCGTTCTATTTGGTTTAAGCGTAAGAGGAGTTGGTTAATAAAATAAATTGATTCATAATAAAACAGAACTCTTGACCTGTGAATTTCTCAATAATTCCATAATTTCTGTGAAAAAATCAATTAAAATCACAAAATGGGAAAGAAGAAAGGAGCTGCCAATAAATTGGCTAAAATGTCCGATGAAGAACGAGCACGCTATTTGCAACATCGTGCTGATCTAGAGGAAGAAGCTCGACGACGCAAACAACAATTGATTGCTATATTTTTGAAGGTGAGGTTTTTATTTTACAACTCGGAATTTCATCTAGGTTAACTTGAATTATTAAACTTTGAAAATAGTCAAACATCTCCAGATTATTCATCCATTTTTTTTTCTTATTATTCTATTTTATTTATATTTGCTCAATCATAAACTTGAATTTGAATACTCAGAACAAATTGAAAAGGGAAGACGCATTCTCACGATTAAATATGGCAAAAATCAATCAGGAGTGGCGTTCCATTCTGCGGAATATTAAGTGTATTGAGCTGCGAAATGAAGCGAAAAATGTGCAAACTTATTTTGCTGATGCATTCGAGCGGAAAAATCAGAAAATTGAACGATTGCTGTCTGAACTCGATCAACAGGAAGATATGTATGTGATGCTATTCAAATCGCACATGGAATCGATTAACAAGCTCATTGGTAATATTTTCTGTTTTTATTTCGATTCACATTCATTTCTTCTAGATCTTTGAATTTTTTTTTATCTATTTTATTCTCCATTTTTTCTTTTGATTATTGCCTTCTTGATATATATTCCAAAATTTTCATTTTTTCAATTAAATCAAAAATCGTTTCGATGCCTCCAAGGTTTACACGGTGAGCGTTTGGCTTATTGGACGGATCAATATGAAAAAGAGAAGAAAATTTTATTGGATCAATACGAGCAAGAGATTGAAAGTTACAAAGATAGAAAATTTCGAGCCCACAAAGAGTTGGAATGTGTTCATTATGCGTTGCAAAGTGAATACGACGAACAAAACGCGCAGGATGAAAAAGAGCACCAAGAGAAAATTGACGATATTAAAAGCAAAGTAAGTAAACATTTAGTGCAAGAAAATTGCAGATTAATTTTTTTCTTCATTCCTTTTAGTTTTGCTTTGTATATTTTTTCAATGAATTTTTTCCCAAACGCAAATGTGAATTTTAATTTTTCCAATTTTGTTCAGATGATTTTAAAACTGCAAGAAATCACAAAAGAGAGCGAAAATAAAATGAATAAATTGTGGTCGGATTTCCAACAAGTGCTGAAAAATTATTCGGATCAAACGGAAGAAAAGTATGCCGAATACGTGGAAATGCGTGAAAAGGACAACGCAGACACAAAAGAAATTCATCAACATTATTTGGAGATCGCTAAAGCAACCAGGGATATTTCATTGTTGAAGAGTATTCTGGAGGCACAATCAAATGAGCATCAAATTCACGTCAATCAAATAAATCAATACCAAGAGCTACTCAAAGAGAAACAAAAACGAATGAAAGCCACAATGAATTCCAGCGAAAAAATGCATAAGAAATTAATGAAGACGCTTGTTGTTAGCAGCACAGATGTTAATACGGTGAGCTAAGCACATGTTTTTTTTTCAAATGGCAATGAATTGGTTATTATTTTCAAAAAAAAGAACAAATGAAAATTGGTTTGATTTTTTTCCAACACGATTCAGAATAATCTTTATTATCAGGATCAAAATCTCATTTTTTTCATTTTAAATTTCCAGAAACTCGACAAGATATTGGCCAAAGGCAAACAAATTTTGCAATTAACCGAGATTTGCAGTAAATATGAAACGGAAAGGGAAAAGGTGCAACCTTTCAAAGCACACAGCACCACTGAAGATGAAAAACTAGCCGAAAATCAAGAAGAAGAAATGTTGAAGGACTTCAAAGAGGTTTGAACCGTCTATCCAAGAAAATATTTCAATTCCTCATGTGTATCCTTTTTAGCTCAATTTAAACGTCGTCTCAAAAATGGAAAACTTCTGGATTCGCTATAAAAATGTGGAAATCGATTGTGCTTGTCTGGAAGAGGAGCGTCAAGGTCTTCAGAAAGAAAATGAGATGCTGAAAGGAAAGCTGAAGCAATACCTAGAGGATGTATCGGTGGTGAATGGTCGCGTTGGTTCGTCAAAAGAGCGTTTGCGTCCTCAGAGTATGAAAATTGAGCGACTAACTTGTGCTGCATCAGCTCCAATTCCAAAATCAAAGGAACAGCGTCGGCCAGTCACCGGCGTTGAAGGCAACTTGAGTGTTGCTGTTCGCAGCAAAAGTCTAGTACAAACGAATGTTAAAACACCAAACATTTTTTCAGTCGTAAATTAAATAGAAAATTTATTAAGATCACTGTTTTCAACATTAACCGTAAGTCTTGAGTGAATTGAAAATGCACGATAAATCGATTTTAGTCAACTAAGCCCGTTTCGACTGTGAATGCTGAGTGGCCCATTTCGAAGAGTGGGTACAAACGGCCGGTTCGTCGTGCAATTTCTGCTGCCGTTTCCGCAGAATTGTTCAGAGCACTTGCGTTACAGTTTGGTTCCATCAAAAGAGTCATCGCTGTTTCTCGACAATTGGACACTGTAGCGGCGATGTGAAGTGGCGTTTGTTGACCTTGTGATAATGCATTGACATCTGCTCCGTGTTGCAGCAAAAATGAAGCCGCTTCAGCATTTGACCATTTCACCGCCGAATGCAATGGTGTCCATCCAAATTCCGTTCGTGCATTCACATCGGCTCCATACTGAATCAAAATCTTGGCGATTTCCACATTATTTGAATAGGCCGCTCGGTGCAACGGTGTATAGCCATCTTCATCACGCGAGTCTTTTGTTGTGATATCACGCATCAAAATACTTTCCACCAAATCAGCTTTACCTTCACCGGTTGCCCATAAAATCTCTTTGTGGAGGGTTTCTGAAATAAAAACAAATATTAGTTGTGATTCCGTGTTTTCAATTCTCATATTTTGACATTTCAATTGTTTACATCAATTAGACATCGTTTGGTGTGAAAATTTCAAATGTTTCACACAGATTTCGTAGTTTTTTTTATATAAAATGCACATAATTATCATTAAATTGTCTTTTCCCATTTGAAAAATATTAAAACAATCACAAATTTCAAAAAATACCAAATCGTGTACCTCTTGGATTTTTTTCTTCAAAAACTTCATCGTTCGGGTCTTCCCATCCACTCACAAACATTCCAGGCTTTACGTTTGCATTGCGAAACTGCTCCAACTGATCAATCGATTCATCCGAATCACTTTCTCGCAATGGCATTTTGAAAGATTCAAAAATTTAATCCAATTTCTTTTATTTTCAATTTTGTTTCTCACAATAAAAACACTAGACCTGTTTAGCGAATGTTGTTCAATGCAATATTTTGTGCTTTGACAGTGTTCGTGAATGTCAAAACGTCGACGTCGTCAATATGGGAGATTTGACATTTGAAACGTCAAACGCATTGTATACATTGTTCAAGTACTGCACTCCAGGTATGAAATGTAAATGTTTTGTTATTGTTGCTATCATCTGCTTTATGCGGCATACTTCATACGCAGAAAACATAACGTTTGTCTCCAATCGAGAAGGTCAATTTTTATCTCCTCATGTCGCATGATAGTTTTTTATTTAATAAATTTCGCTTTTTAGTTTTTTTTCGTTGAAGTGAATGATTTCTAATTTTCAATTGATTAAGAGTTCACCGTGCTTGTAATGTTCAATCACATCCGCATGTCGCAAGACAGTACGAATGATATGTTAAGTGAGTGAAAGAGACAAAATATTACTACAATTTTTCTCAAGTACAAGCATCACTTCTGATTACCACTGACAATCTACTCTGTGTGTCTGTATATCAATTGAGAGTAGACAGTGATTTGAGCAAGACTTTATTGCGTCTGATTGTATTACTTAATCAGAGTGAGCTGAATTTTCAATCAGTGTAGAGTATTTGTTTGAGAAAACGATGCCCGGTAGTGATTTTTCTTCACATTTCTCCCTTTTATTGAATCAATAATATTTTGATAGTGAATAATTTGCTTGTTCATGCACAATGTTCATAGACCATTTTCACGTTTAATTTGTCATGAGTTCAGTTTTGCGGAGCACTTTTTTGCGATGCTGCGAATCACATTCAAAAATTTAGAAGCATTTTTTCATTATTATTTTTTTGTTACAAGTATTTAATTTCACTCATATAAGAGATTTCTCTGTATATTTAATTATTTAATTTCTATAAAATTTTACAGACAATCAGACTAAGGCGATCATCGGCACCGCTGTAGCCGTGGGAACTGCTGTGGCTGGTTTGGCCTATTTGTACAAGCGGAATGCCAAAGAAACGGTTCCAACAAAGTAAGTTAACTTAGGCATAGACAAACTTGAATGTCGTCTCAAAAGTGATTGATTAAAAATTAGAAAGTCCCAAAAGTCACTTTTCAAATACTTCAACACAAAATGGACACGATTTATACTTCACGCGTCAACCTTTTTCAACAGATTTTACACAGTTTTTACAATTTTTCTTTACATTTTCAATCGTTTCAGATGGAAGCAAGTCGGTGAAATAATCGATTTGAATTGCTTTCCAATCAAATCATGTGCTCCAGTGAAGCGTGCATCGTTTGAATGCAATCTCCTTGGATTCGAATATGAGAGTATATTCGATCGTTGTTTCATCATTGTTCAAGGAGAAAAGCAGCTCACGGCGCGAACTTACCCAAAAATGGTGCTTATCCAACCGAAAGTCGTTGGCAATGTGCTCATTATATCTGCTCCAGAGAGAGCAGATTTCGTGCTAAACTTGGATAAGTTAGCGGACTTGACACCAAATCGTAATGTTGAGCTATGGTACTCAAAAGTTGGTGGCGTCGACTGTGGCGATGATGTCGCCAATTGGCTATCGGAATGTATTGTTGGTAAGCCAGGTGTGGTTCGATTGCTGTACTATCGACATCTCTACCCAACAAAAGGACGGAAGAAAGGCGATCCGAGCAAGTACAAGGCGTACAAGTCTGAAGACGTTGGCATCTATCAGGATGAATCAAGTTATATGCTCATAAACCAGGCATCAATTGATGAGCTAAATACCCATCTCGACCATGTGGTTAAGCCGTTGCAATTTCGGCCAACGATGGTAAGCGATTGTTTTACAAAATCGGTGCATCAACTCGAAATTGAACAAATGTTGAATATTTACAGGTCGTCAAAGGGCCGACTGCTTATGAAGAGGATAATTGGAAATGGGTTCGCATTGGAGATGTAGTTTTCCGTGGGCTGAAACCGTGTCAAAGGTGAGTCACTTTTTTTCGAATTGAATTGCGAATGAAACATTGCAGTTGATATCACCTTCTATTGTGCCTTGCTCCATTTTAGATGCGTCTTCACAAATATCAATCCAGACAACGGCGAACGCAATCCGGCACGTGAGCCACTGGAGACATTGAAGAAAACCCGCACTCTTATTCCGAACGAGTCACCGGTCATGGGTCTTCATTTGGCTATTCGCACTCAAGGAGCCATTACCATCGGCGATGCTGTCTACATCAATGATGAAAGCGAAGCTTGAACTTCGTGAATCGATCACCAAATGCAACTGAGATTTAAAAACACTATCAATCAAAAAGAACTAGTAGTAGCTTTTAAGTACATTCCGTTTTGCGTCATTTTGTAGGGAAATGTTAGCATAAGTAATGCTGCATAACAAATCCAAATTCCAAAATTGGCGTAATGTGCCATTTTGTACACTTTATACTACTCATAGAAAACGCAAGCAAATTGATTTGTTCCAATTGAAAAATTTGCGATTAGAATTGTTTAGTAAATAGAAACATTCGTAACGACAGCATTTCTCATCGATATTTAGCAAAATGAATTAGTTCCACAGTAGCATTGATAATTCAATGGCACCTAAACAATTAAATTGTTTACTCTGCTGAATGAGAATCTCAGCACGATTAGGTTTCTTATTGAGTGAAGAGTTGAAAAAAATGCCTGGTGAGAGAAGGCAATTTGAATTTACATTGTGAATAGGCAGATTGTCCCCAGAAAGACAAAACTAATCAACGGTTTTTCAAATCATTAAATCATCAGAATAATTATGGTTTATTATTTTCGTAGATCACATGCATGCAATTTTCGGCTTAGCCGCTGCTGTGAGCACAGCCACCGTTGGTCTAGTCTTGTTGTACAAGCGAAATTGTGAAGATCGCATTCCAACAAAGTAACAAATTACATTTAATTTCATTTTAAATCTAAAACGCCTTTGTTCTTTCACATTTTTTTGAATATTTTTAACATTTTCTTTCATAAATTACAATGAAAACATATTTTTGCCGTTCAATTTAATAAATAATCTATTCCAGATGGAAGAAAGTTGGCCAAGTGTGTGATTTAAATTGTTTTCCATTGAAGTCATGTGGTCCAATTAGACGGCAATCGTTCGATTGTCATTCTCTTGGAATTCAATATGAAAATTTATTTGATCGTTGTTTTGTCATCACGCATCGAAACAAGCAAATCACGGCTCTGGCTCACCCAAAATTGGTGCTAATTCATCCAAAGGTCGTAAGAAATGTGCTCATTTTATCGGCACCAAACCAATCGGATTTCATTTTGAATTTGGATCGTCTAAAAGGTCAACGTCCAACCGAGACAGTCGATTTCTCGTATTCGAAAATCTCTGGCGTCGATGCCGGCAACGACGTAGCAGATTGGTTGTCACAATACATTTTTGGGAAATCGGGTATTGTTCGATTGATTTACTATCCGCACTTGTATCCGAGCAGAGGAAGAAAGAAATCTGATATAAAAAAGTACGGAGCGTTCAAATATGATGATGTTGGCATTTATCATGATGTTTCGAGCTATGCTCTGATGAATAAAGCATCCATTGACGACCTAAATTCCAAATTGAAAACTCCAACCAAACCACTTCAGTACAGAGCCAATTTAATCGTCACTGGGGCCGAAGCGTATGAAGAAGATCATTGGAAGTGGATTCGTGTTGGCGATACGGTCGTTTTTCGCGCATTGAAACCAACCCCAAGGTAATGCAAACAATGTCGTTACAATTCAGATTCGATTAGCAGTGGTAATTGTGCTTTCAGGGACCTAATGGTTAACGTTGATCCCGATTCGGGTGAGCAGAATAAAGATTACGAGCCATTGGGAACGTTGATTAAGAAACGGACTATTCTTCCTAATCAGCCGCCAGTCATTGGTATTAATATGGCAATTCGTGTTCCAGGAACGATCTCAACCGGGGATTCTGTTTATGTTGACGACAACTAATTGTCAAAATTGCCGAAAAAAAGGGAAAATAAAATGGAAATTGCCACAAACCATTGAAATAATCTAATTTTTTATTTTAGATTTTTCCGATAAATGTGTTTCTTCTCTTTTGATTGTTTCATTGAAAAAGGCTTATTACCATCTAAATACGCGATTACTAGTGTACCCAATAGACTGTTTCGTTTCCGACAAAAATTTAAATTTCCATCGGGCAAATAGCTTATTCGTTGCAAAATTGCCCAAATAACATAACCCAGGCCGAAGAATGCAAAAACCTATGATTGGGACCTGTCGAATCGTGTATATCGCCCCAAGCAATCGATTTCAGTCATTTTTGATGAAATATACACTTTTTACTCTGTGTTATAGCATTTTTTACCATATTCATTGCTTTGTGGCTGTAGAATTAAACAAATATATCACAAATAAACAATACTCAATCGATTTCCCATCCCAGTGTATAGTCTTCCTCTGCAACATTCAAGACAGGAACTATACCAAACACAACGATATGCTGTATTTCTAGCGGCTCAGAGCGCCAGAAAGTGGACCAAACGTCTTGTTTTTGGATTGAACTTTTCACAAAAAGTGCCATAACTTTGGACAGAATTAAGATATTGAGACAAATAGAAGCATAAATGAAAGGTTTTGAGGTCCTCTATTAGAGTCTACTATTACTTTGTAGAATATTATTACAAAAATAGTTGATTTTCGAGACAACAGAACCTTGAATATACTAAAATCGCAACTGAGCTATATCTCAAAAACTAGAGCCGCTAGAGCCAAACCAAGGCCAAATTCGGATTCAGTGGCCCCAAAAACCATTAAAAAGAGTCTTCTCCTCTTGAAGTGTTTTTTGCTGTGGAGTAGTGTTATCATTTAAGCCAATTAGCCTTTGACTTGACTTTGATGGGGTGTTTATTTTCAACTCGTTTTCGTAACGCACCATTGTTAACCATATCGTAAACCATCCAAATTGTAACAATTGAACCATTTTTCATTTTAAAATAGATAGAAATAACTCAATGAAGAATTTTCAGGATTTTCGGGAAATCAAATTGTTTGATTCGGGATTTTAGTATTCGGGAAATTTGTATTTCGGGAATAAAAAAATTCTGGATAATTTTTTCAGGAAAAGAGTTTTCGGATTATTTTGAAAAAATAAATCGGGATTTTTTTTCGGAAAAAAGTCGTTAAGGGAAATTGTGCGTACACCCGTTTTCAAAAATTCTCAAATGTTTTATCGCTGTAGAAACGAATAAATTACAAAGTTATTTCGGAATGTAAAGAGAAATTTCATGAAATATTACGGTTAATTTGTTTTGAACAATTTGATGAGCTCACGATTCAAAATTGTTATATTTCCCACTCTTCTGAGTGGTTGTAAAATTATCGCCGACTTCATTAATACGCTTTACGATGGCGTTAATCTTGATCATGGAATCACTTTTGTCATCGAATTCCATGTCCTCTGGATCCATACAAGTTTTTGTAACACGGCATTTTAGAGTGTATCATTTTTTTTTATAAACGAGTATTTTTTTTATCAACAATAATGTTGTTCCAGTGTAATAAATATACAAAAATTGAGATGCAATTGTGCTTCGAACTTTGCTCAAACGTACTCGTCAAGAAATTGGTGTTCAGCGGCTTAGAAGTCTTTTGGAATCTGTCGCCACGGAATCTTCACATTGGGAATTTCAACACGACCACTCATTGAAACATATGTAGCCCATTGGACATCGGATTTATATGGCAGTCACCGTCGTCGGTTTTATTCTCTCGATTGACAATAAATTTTTTTTATTTTTCATTAGAACCGATTCATTTCACTTTATTGTGGGCTCAATTTTGCTCAATATTATATATTGACACGAGTAGAAGAAATGTTATAATTAACGTAATTACGCACATCAAAAATGACAACATCGTGATCAAATTGGTAAATTGTATAATATTAGTTTATTTTTAGCTATTGTAAAGTTCATTACGATATTTGAAAATATTTTGTTGTTGACCCTATGTTGAAAAATGTGGTGGTGAAAGGTTAAAATAAATGCGTTTAAACTTTTCTTCTGGATTGGACTGTCCATATTAAAGTCAATATGAGGTTAAATTTTCATCTTTAATTTTTTCTGAGTTGTCAATTTTGATGTGCGTCATTACGTTAATTGCAACTTCTCAAGTTAATTACAAAGATATTACTTGCGTCACATCGCTTTTACACGTGCCAATATTTAACACATTGAGATAGTATATTTAAAAAAAGAAGCCTGCAATAAAGAGTAATGAAACGGTTCTAATGAGTTTTCATGCGGATATTAAAATGGAAAAATTTACTCATTTATTGTCAATAGAGAGAACAAAACCAGCGATGGTGACTGCTATATAAATGCGATTTCGAATTATACATTTCAATTTCTCTTGAACAGCGAAAGCATCGCATACAAATCTTGAAAAAGGCATTTGCAATGACACGATTAATTATTTTGGCCGTATTGGCCGTAACATTGGTGAGTGTAAAATGGTTCTTAAAAAATGAAAAAAGAGATAAAAAAAACTAATTTGATTATTGTATTATTTTTCTCTCTCTAATTTCTATTATAGGCTTTTGTATTCGCTGACGATGATTGTGGAAGTGAATATGCTACATATGTTTCAATGAGTGGTCGTGTTGAAATTCCTAAAGTGAAGATTCCGTGGCGACAGATTCCAAAAGACTTCCAAGCTTCTGAAAACCAATTTCTTGACAAGTACGTTTGAGCAAAGCTCGAACCACAATTGCATATCAATTTTTGTGTGTTATGAACACTAGACTGCATCGTTTCTGACAAAAATTGATGAATTTTTGGGGCAAATAGACTATTCGTTGAAGAATCATGAGAAAAGAAAATTCCAATCCAAAAATGTCAAAAACCTATGATTGGAACCTGGCGCATTATGTATATCGCCAAACAATCGATTTTAGTTATTTTTGATGGAATATACACTTTTTACTCGCTGGTATCACATTTTTTTCCATATTAATTGCTTTGTGGCTGTAGAATTAAACAAATATGACACAAATGAACAAACCTCAATCGGTTTCACATCGATTTTTGATCATTTTTAGTGAAAAATGGGTAATTTCAGGCAAAATTTTGAAAATTTTGTATGGGAGATACCCGTAAAACGCTTTCGAATAGCTTCAAACTTTCTGAGATTTTATTTTTTGGTGAAGAAATAAGATTCTGAAAGTTTCATGCTGATCGCATTTGCACAAGTTTGGTTTTTGATCTTCAATTTTTTCGAAATGTTTATATAGGGGACATTGCTGCAGGTTGAGAATTGCTGCAGGTTGAGAATCGTTACTTTTTTTCACTATACGTGATCATATCGCCATCGGAATAGTTTTGGAAATCTAATTTTGAGGCCTGTTCTTTTTTAAAAATTGTTCCGACACAACTGGCGTTTGTTTTGATACACTTCCAATACGCCCATGAATTTTTGTGCGAAAACTTGTCATTTTAGTTATTGCTGAATGTCATAAAGTGACTATTTTGCATTGAAAAAAGAGTCGGGCAACCGTTTTTTTGTAGTATTTTCATTTCTCTTTACGATTCAACAAGAATTATGTGCATTTTGTGGTGTTGAAAATAAATTGCGAGTCTCGGTAAAAATGTCTATAAAACTGCAGGTTGAGAAAGTGACTTTTTCGCAGGTTAAAAAAAGGTATTTTTTACAATATAAAAGATTTTATTGTTTTTCTCGTTTATGAATCATTATTGAAGAGTAAATAAGTCATTTAAGATGGCTTTTTTTCGAAAATTCATTTATTTAATTAAATTTATGATTGGACTACCATTCAGGAAATGGACAACGAATCTGATGAATTAGAGTAGTTTTGGGCTCCAAATTGCTTTATAGAGCAATAAAATCATCATAACATTGAAAGTATATCATATTTTTATAGTTTTTTTTTACATTTAAATAACAATTTTGAAAATTCTCAACCTGCAGCAAAAAAAAACATTTCGCCATTTTCAGCACCTTCAGAAATTTGACCATAAATTTTGTTTTTGAAAAGCAATTGCATATGTTTCTTAAGCAAAATTATAGCTCAAGACATTATCTATCCAACGGTACCTTAATCTCTTCTAATTGTTCACTCCTGACAAAGTTATGACCAAAACAAATAGTGGTAGCCAACCTGCAGCAATGTCCCCTACATAATGCGATGCAGTCTAATGAACACTCGTTTAAAATCTAAATTATTTATAAAATATACTTTTGTAATGATGATCAATTGATGCGTGCTGAGTAATAGATGCCGTGTTACGGAAACTTACGTCGATCCAGAGGACATGGAATACGATGATAATAGCGAAGCTATGATCAAGATTAATACCATTGTAAAGCGTATTAATAGAATCAGTGATAATTTTACAACCGGTCTGGAGAATGGAAAATATAACAATTTCGAATCGTGAGCTCATCAAATTGTTTAAATCAAATGAACCATATATTTCTACCCCTAAATGAATTTGCAATTTGTCTGTTTCTACAGCGATAAAAGCACGTTTAAAGTTTTCGCCGCAGAATTATTGAAGATTGATCAAGATCTGTAAGAATGGCCGAACAGTGGGAATTGAATCGATATTAAAACGCATTCGTATATTTTCACGCAGGAATGCTTCCGGCAAAGAGAACCACGAAGGTCCATTAATTTTGGCAGTTTGCATGGATATGTACAGTATCTTAAGCTTCATGGCGGCCACACAAAAGCCTTCCCCTGCAAAACCGTCCCAAAATCAAGAAGATACCGGTAGATATGCTGTGATCCATCGAAATGAATAGTACTTTACTATTATTTCTTTTTATTTATTCCATTTTCACACAGTAAAAGCACTGCTTGAACAGAGAAAATATTTCGAAGCGAAGACAAAGATTACAGAAATTCTCAAAACTACCCCAGTTAAAAGTGATGTTGTCTCTGAACTATTACTCGATCGTGCTATCGCCAACTCAGAAACCCGATTCTATCGTGAAGCAATTGAAGATGCCACCAATGCGATGAAAGACAGCCGCCTTCACTCGAAGTGCTTGGAAATTCGTGCAAAATGCTACATGTCGATGCGTAAATTCCAAGATGCAGTCAC